TGACATCCGTCCCCCCTTACAAAAAGGACAGATCCTGTAATGTAAACAAAAGCATATGTTAATGACTAGTTCTCGGTTTGTTGGGGTATTTCGCATGAAACCTTTTGACGAGCCTGTCAGCTTTCACTTCACTGGATTTCACCCAGGTGGCTTCAGACAACGGGTATCCCTTCCATTGTACTAGGTACTGCAATTTCCCTTTAAAAATTCTAGAGCCAAGAATACGTTTCACTTCATAGTGGGTCTGTCCTGCAACTACGAGGGGCCCAGGTGCCTTCTTTGGGGGAGGTATTAAAGTGGAGCCCTGATAAAGTTTCAACAAGCTGCAATGGAAGACTGGGTGAATTCTCCCTAAAAGTCTAGGGAGTTTTAGTTCTACAGTGACCGGATTGATGATCCTTACTATGGGGAAAGGCCCCAAGAATTTTGGTCCCAATTTCTTGCTGGGCAGTTTGAGGCGTAAATATTTAGTTGACAAATAAACTTTTTCCCCAACTTGGAATGTTCTTTGAGAATATAATGACATGCTGCTTTGACATTCTATGACGGCTTCTCTTAATGTAACATCTATTGTATGATATAAAAATAAATCTCCGTGGTTATATAAAAACCATTGTTTCTTTTTTATGCTTTCATGCTTCTTTCTTCCTAGTGCTAAGAAAGCTCCAAATAAACAATTTTTATATATGCTCAGGAAGGATTGTCATTGTCTGGGTGTGCTTTGGTATAGACATATTTTGCACTAAGGCAAGCTAATTAAGTCTATGACTCCTATCCTTGTCCATTAATCGTTATCAAAACAATTTTCTTTTCAGATATTCAAAAACACACTATTTGTGACTATTCAGTAATCCTAAGAAAAATTTAAACAACATTACTGGTGTGGTATTGATACAGTGATATATACCGTGTTTCCCCAAAAATAACACCCAACCAGAAAATAAGCCCTAGCATGATTTTTCAGGATGATCGTAATATAAGCCCTGCTCCAAAAATAAGCCCCAACATTGTGGTTGCCCTGGGGCATGGTGGGGGGCGTGGCCAGCTTGACATCACTTGCATTGGAGGGGCACCTGGGGGACTCCAGGCAGAGTTGGGGGGGAATCCAGGGGTCCTAGCGAAGGGGGGTGGAACCACGGTGGGCGCCAGGGCCTGATCCACTGGAGGAGCCTTGCCGACCCTCTTGGGTCGCATGGGTCAGCTCTGGGGCTGGGCTTGGGTGGGGCAGGGAGTCCCAGCTGCCTCTTGGGGACAGGAGCTCCCTGTAATTCCTGTTCACCGGGGTCATCGTGGGTGGGGTGGTAGGCTCGCTGGTTGATGAGGTTGGCCAGTGGGGGCTGCGTGGCACCACCCCTGCCCCACCTTGCTCCACAGGGCAGCACTGTCAGCAGCCAGAGGCATGGAAGAAAGAGGGAGGCATAGGAACTCTGAAGTTTTGCATGGTTCAAATGAGGTAGAAGATACCGTTATTGCACCAAAGCCATTTAGTCCGAGGTGACCAGTGAATGTTGTTTCAGCTTTTACCTGTCCCTTGACTAGAATAATAGCGGGTCTAATTCAGGGATCGCTCTCCTTTTCCTTCAGCATGGCCCAAGCTCTCCGCGCTTCTTTCTACTTGTCTCAAATCCTCAGCGATTCAGTTCTTTCCCCGCCTTCCCAGCATTCAATCCTAACCCGACCCCCTTCCTTCAACTACCACCTCCTCATTTATTTCCCCCCGCAAGGGACAGTCTCTTTCTCATTGCTTGTTCTTCTCCAGATTGTTTTTTTTCAGAGGGTCTACAAACATGGCTTTGAGGCAGCAGCTGGGTGAGTTTCAATTACTATGCGTGGCATCTCGACACCACAGGTCTGCTGCACTGCAAAAGTTTTGCTCATTTACTTTCACAGCAGCAGAACATGCCCCACTCTGAAATGAGAGGGGAGCACTGCCCATGGGTTTTTGGCTTATTGGAGAGCTCCACCTAGTTTGGTGATTGGCTTATGGATGGACTCTCTTTCAGCCTGGTGTATGTTGGGTGCTGAAGTTCTGTCCGATTTAGTGAGGTTTAGCAGGCTGAGTGCGCAGGGGCCGCAGCATGGCTCAGCCTGCTAAACCTCACTTTGCTAATACAAGGGCAATTCGGAAATAAACCTGCGTTTGGTTATCAGTGACAGACACTCACAGATACAGAACTTTTATTATACACATTAGAAAACTACATTACATTACCTTTCAACATAATCGCCATTCAAATTGAGCCACTTGTTATAATGTCTTACGAAGTTTGAAATTCCTTAGTAGTAGTTGTTCGGCGCCAAATCTGGGCTGGGGAGGTGATCAAAAACATCCCAACAGAATTGCTTCAAAAGTTCTTAGGTGTGTCTAGCAGTGTGCAGGCAAGCATTATTATCATGAACACCAAATCGGAAGTGGTACCATAGAAAATCCCATCAAATATGAAGATGCCAAAGGAATCTAGTGAAGTTCATGGAGCGTGGTTCAACCATCAATTCAGAAGTCTACTGTGAAACTTTACCAAAACTCAGATGAGCCATCCGTAACAAGTGTCGGGGCATGCTGACTTCCAGTGTGATGTTGGTTCACGATAATGCTCGCTCGCACACCACTCGATGCACCCAAGAACTTTTGAAGCAGTTCCATTGGGATCTTTTTGATCACCTTCATATAGCCCAGATTTGGCACTGAGCAACTACTAAAGAATTTCAAACCTTGTAAGACATTATAAGTCCCTCAATTTGAATGGTGATTATATTGAAAAGCAATGTAATGTTGTAGTTTTCTAATGTGTATAATAAAAGTTCTGTATCTGCGAGTGTCTGTCACTGATAACCAAACGGAGGTTTATTTCCAAATTCCCCTCGTATCTTGTCTGTGGGATTAGACTATGGATGAGTCCAATAGCTTGTACTTTCTCTTCCCACCCTACCCCCTCAAATCTTGCTAGTTCCTCTGATTACATCTTTACAGCAAAGTGTTAGTTCAAAACCACTAGATATCTTATTCCTCTCAATAAGCCTGGCTTTCTTGAAAATTTAAGTCTCTCTGTGGCGCTCTTGGTGCTCCCTGAGCTTGGTTATTTGCTTCCAGACATTTTGTTACCCAAACAGGTAACAGCACTATGAATTGAGTGTGGGATTTGCCATCTTTATGTGCAGTACTTGTTTCAGTAGAGATGTACAAGCTACTGCATATAAACAATAATCCTATCTAAACCACTTCCTTTAAATATGTATTGTATGTCTATATTATATAGGTAAGAGTTACTATGTTAATACAAGCAGTCCTCAAGTTACAACAGTTCATTTGTTGACCATTCAAAATTCAACGGCACTGAAAAAAGTGAGTTATGTACCTTTTTCACGCTTACAACTATTGTAGCATCCCTGTGGTCACATGATCACAATGCAGATGCTCCGCAACTGATTGATATTTATGATGGTTGCAGTGTTCCAGGGCCATGTGATCACCTTTTGTGTATTTATGGTAAGCAATGTCAATGGGAAACCAGATTCACTTACCTACTACATTGCTAACTTAACAACTGCAATGATTTATTTAACAACTGTGGCAGGAAAAGTTGTAAAATGCGGCAAAATTCACTTAACAAACGTCCCATCTAGCAACAGAAAATTTGGACTCAATTGCAGTCATAAGTCGAGGACTACCTGTATTTCTCGGGACACACTTTTAGTTAGCTGTTATTGGTACACACCTTCAATCCATTTATTATTGGAAGAGGCAATTGTGAGGGTGGGATGGAGATGGAAAGCAGGCGAATCTCATCGTGTTACTTTAAAACTTCCTCAATATACTAACAAGATTAAACAAAATAGTCCAAATCAGAAACAACGTTGACTTTTGAAGAGGCTGAAAGTTTCCCGCATTGGGGACATGGTCATGAATCAGAGAAGAAGCTGACCCAGGGAACAGAATCAGACTCTGAGGAATTAAAGCCAGGGTAAGAAGCCACAACCCGGAGCAAGTTCGGCCGCGCTCTCGCATCCCCACAAACAGACGCAGGCGTCCTTTCGGAGGCCTCCTTCGGGCTTCTTCCCTGCAAAAGATGAAGCGGCCAAAGAACGCGGATTGGGCCTCCTCAGTCACAGGGGATGACCCAGGCCCTCCGCCTCCTCGATCCGTCAGTCAAGGAAGTGCGGGCGGGCTGCAAACGCGCTTATCGGGCCCGGCGCCTGCGCTGCTTCTCTCACCTTCTGAAAGGAGCCGCCACGGCAGCAGCGGACAGGGAGGAAGCACTGTGGCCCGCCTGGAAGGCCTCGAAAGGCGCCTGGGCGGTGGCGAGAAGGAAAAGAACGAGGACGGGAGACAAGCGGAGAAATCCGCAGCTCCAGCGCAGCGCCATCTGGGGCCTCTGCTGCAGAGAAGGGGCGGGCTCAATTGGTCTGGAGGCGGGCAGAGAAGGTCCGATGCAAAACCTGGGCTGAATTTTGGAAGACGAGGCTGTTGTGCTTGATGGAGAAATGGGCATGCATCGGCGTTTTCGAGTGCAGGACTTTTCAACCCTAACCCACAATATGGAATCCACTTTACAGCTTCGTGTTCTTCTCTTCTGGGACAGTTATACAGGAAGAAATGGAGGGTTCCTTTAGTAGCTAGCGCAAAATGTGCTTAAGGAACTGTGATGACTTTCACTGCTTCTGGGAAAAAATAATCAAAAGCAACCACATTTGGGATGGTGTGACTCAGATTAGAGGAGCTATAATTGTGATCTTCAGTGGAAGAGGCTATTGCTGGGTTTTATTTTGGCTGTGCAACTGTAGGGTAGGGGTGGGCTGGAAGAGAAAAACAGCTTTAGTCTTGAAGCAGTTCAACTACCTGGCCAACACAGCTTTCAAGAGGGAGCAGTAGCAGTGATGGTGAAGGTAGAAAAGGAAGCAGGAGGGCAATTAGGAGCTTTCAAAGTATTTTGCTGGTGTGATTACTAGATTTTTCTAGCAAAATTAGTTCAGGGGGTAATTATATTCGGCTGACTGAGGAAGAGGGAGAAATTGAGAAAATTTATTTTAATGAAACAGCATATAAATATAACATTTAGAATTGGTGTTTTGACAGAGGTTCAAAGTTTGTGCCTGTCAATTTGCTTAACTTGTGCAGAATTTGTGTTTCCTTTTCATACATCTGAAAAAGAGCAAGGCCACAGTGAATGCATGTTTCCTTTCAAATAATACAACATCTGATCTTACAAACTTGGATTTGAAATTTGGAATTTAAACGTACTGAACAAGTCAATCAGAAAATCTTATGATGCATTTACATAAGCTTACATTTGGAAGCTTTGAACACTAAAGAAAACTGAAAAAATAGAATTTGTCAAATCAGTTAGAATACTTACTTGTTGCCAGTTTGTTTCTGTATTATGTTTATAACCAAGCAAGTGGCACATGCCATGGGCAATTGTCACCTATTTAAGGGAAAAAAGCTTGTAAATGGTTCACATATTCCTAATTGACAGGCAAAATAGACTATTAGAGAAATCCCACATCACAATAGTTTAAAATCATAATAGAAACGGTCATCATTTATAAAGAATACTGTGAAAATGTCACTGTGAATTCTCCCTAGTCAGTGGAAAGGAGTTAGAATTGTAGAGTGAACAGTTATTCAATGTATGCCATTCAATTTAAACAGCATTTTGTATTGCTAGCAATTCTACTAAAGAGGTTGGCAAACTTTTTTTTCCATAAAGAGTAAGATCCTACCCCTCCTCTGCCTCAATGGACACAGCTGGCAGACCAAGGAGCATGGTAGACATTGGACATGCCATCTGCCCATGTCAGAACCCCTTTCCTTGGGGGAGGGGAAACATTTTATTAGATGGGCTTTTTCTTTTCCCTTCTGCAGGTTCTGCCATGCTCCTGTGGGGAGGGGGAGACCCTTGGGGAATTGTGTATTTTTTCTTTTTGCTTAGGTGCTACAATGTATCCTCTCTGCTTCCTCTATCTGCTTGTTCTTTGAATTGTTCTCCCCTTGATGCCAACCTGGGGTGAGAAAGGAATGTGCCTTTGGCCATCTGGCTTATCTCTTGCTGCTGAAGAGAACGGAGTCTTATTAGCCTCATTCCCACAGTAGACATAACACCTGGGGATTGGCCTATTGGGGTGGGGTTTGCTTTTTGCTCCTTTAACCTATTGAGTGGGAAACCCTCAGATACTGCCTTCTATGCCTGCTGTCAACTTCTCCTAATAAAAGTTTCTTTTGGGATGATTCGGTTCCAAGAGTTCTGCTTTCTTGAGAAGAGGTTTTGCTGAGAACTCAGCTTGTCAACTCACCTTATTCCCATATTTTATTTTAGATTTTTTTATTCTGCCTTTATTATTATTATTTTTTAAAAAATAACTCTAGTTGGCCAACATATCTAATACTCCTCCATTCACTTATTTTCCTCACTTCAAAGAAGGTTGGGGTGAGAGAGAATGAGTGGCCCAAGGTCATCCAGATTGTTTTCATGCCTCAGGTGGGACTAGAACACAATGTCTCCTTGTTTCTAGCCTAGAACCTCATAGCACATCATTTTTAAACAATGCTAGATTTCAGCAAGGTTAAATGGGTAGGGAAAACATGACTTTTGGAACTCTTACCAACTCAATAATAGCTCCACTGAGTCATGTGACCAGCTGTGCGGGGATCTTAGAATTGAGCTGGCAACATTCCTGGAGCTGGCAAGGTCAACTGACAAGCACAAGAGTGGTAACCATAAGCTTTCACTAATGAGTTATTCATATTTTGAATTGGCATAATGATTTAAGTAGCTTAACTATGAAAGGAAAAAGGCTAGTGACTTGTTTAAGAAAAAATCTTGCAATAAACACATGCTAGAAAAAATGAGAAAGCTAAAAACAAACTCAAAGCAAGCATGTTATGGGCTAACTTGAGGAGTACTGTGGTTCAAAAAACAAAGGACTACCAGAATTGTGCTGCCAAAATCTGGACAACTACTAGATGGCAGCAAAAGGATATAGACAACTTGTTTCTGCCATATAGTGATCATTTGGATTTGTGTACTACATGTATGTTATTCTAAATGTGAAACAGTAAGATTTCTGTGAGTGGGACTGAGACATTAACGTCATATTTTCTGATACCAAAAGGTTTTTTCATAATTGGAGAAATAACAATGAAAATATTTTCATTTTTATACATCATTTGATTGAACATTTCAGAACTTTATTCAAATAAAAATACTTTTATAAATGTACGCTTACTGTAAGAATACTGTTATAATCTCTGTGGTTCTGTCCACACTGTTGATAGATATATTCTACTCCTAGAAAAATGTCTCCCAAATTGTAGTCATCTTGAATACAGGGCTGGGGTAACTCTCCACCTTTCAGATTCTATGATATCCCCAAAGAAAATTCAGTTACATACATGTTCTCAATTTGGTAAAACAGATGCCATGTAGAAAATGAAATAGGGGTGTTAAGAACAGGCCATACAATATTTATTTCTAAACACTTTATGGTATTAAAAGACATAACATGACTGTACTTGAATCAGGGAGATGTGAATTTAATTTGCTCTCCTTCATCCATTTCTGACATATACTTGGTTGCTTCTTATTCAATAAATATACACTTACGCATTATGATTTATAAGCTATGGATTCCTTCTTGGAACAATTTCCATTTCATACTAAGCCAAAAGCAAACTATATTATGACTTAGTATTAGGTATATATCAGGATTGTATGTATGGGTATAATAATATAAGCCCAATTGTACACTCTCAGAAGTATAATTCATTGTTTTCAATGGGATTTATTTCCATCTAAACATGCTTAGGACAAGAATTCTAGAAGTAAATTACAGAGAATGCGGAGATCAGTCGTACTGCTATCCCCTACATAAACTTATAATAAAAAATTTATTTATTTATTATATATAGCTCATCTTGTCCAGTACTTACTCTAGAAAGTAAAACAGGATAAAATATCAAAATATTAAGATAAATATTAACATTAAAATTTACATTTACTTTCTTCTCATACGTATTAATTTCGATAGTTATAAAATAGAGCTTGAAAAAAAGTAATATTTTATGTATACATTTATTCACACATTCTGAAATATCCAGTAATGAATACTGATGCATTTTTGTTTGTACCCTTACGTAATGAGCCCTGCTGTTTTTCAGGGCCTTCATTTATGATGTGCCACAGTAATTGTCCTTTCCTCTAACACAGTGGTTCTCAACCTTTTTAATGCCGTGACCCCCAACCAGTCGTAAGTCGAGGACTAAACCGGTCGTAAGTCGAGGACTACCCAACCGGTCGTAAGTTGAGGACTTTCCCTGCCCGGGAGCGTGGTGCTGCCCCCTGTGCCGGCCGAGGCGTAGCTGGCAAACGGCAGAGACGGAGCAGGCCGACCACCGGCTGGGCCACCAGCTGGCCCAGCCCAAGGGAGGTAAGGCACCCGCCAGAAAAGGGGAAAAAAAATGGTGGACAGCCTTACTTGGAGACCTCCATGAAATGGTCGATCGACCTCAAATGGGGTCGCGACCCATAGGTTGAGAACCGCTGCTCTAACATGAAGATTTATGGGTAGGGCCTAAATCATCCCTAATTTGTCTGATTTCATTGTCTTCATATATAAATAAAGAAGATACTGTTCTATGTATTAATACCTGATTTCTGATAAAATTACTGCAAAGCTCTAAAGGAATAAATGAGCAAACACATACCTCATGAAAAGGAAAAGATAACACATCAGTAGGAATATTCTTCTGTCTGTAAGTTTTGTTGAGTTGCTGTATGTACATATTACCAACACAAATTACACCAAGATCAAACTTTTGCACACCCAAAATAGAACGGAGTAGTTCTATGTTCTTGCGAAGTGGGACTCTCCTGATTGGAATAGCTCTCTGAAAATTACGTATGATCAGGCTCATCTCATAAAAACTGGTGAAGAACTTTACACAGTCCTGCAAAGTAGACTATGATTAGAAACCACTGACAATTACTAGCAGGTGGAACAACTTAAAATGAGAAATAATGCAGTATTTTAGATAACAAAAGAAATGTAGCATATTTCTTTATTTTCTTTGGAGTTGCCAGGTTTCTCAAGACAAAAAAGGCACCCCCTAAAAAGCTTTTGCAAAGTAAAAGAATGGAAACCTGGATGATCAAGAATAAAATGGCCCAACTGGCTCTGAGGTGAAGTTGATATACTAACAGCAAAAGTAACAGCAAAAACACTTTTCAAGCTAAACAATAAAATTTGTGGGGTTACTGCTTCTTCACTAGAGCTCAGTGCCCAGAGAGCCCTTTTTAGACCCATTTTCAATTGAAGATAGCATCTGTAATGACAGACTGTTAAGATAGAGACATAAAAATGTATTACAGTGCAGAGGTGATACTTCTATCCTCCCCAGCTTTTGTGAGTCTATAGGCAAGAAAAGAATTTAAACCCAAGTGTTATGATTGCTGTGCCTGAGCCCTGCTCTTCCACCAAAAAAGCAGAGACAGAAAAAACAGGAGTGCCCATCCACCCCTTTTGAAATGTTACTTACTTAATGTTGAGACACGTTTCCCTCTACCAACTGCTATGAACACGTTATTGTAAGTTGTGAGGGGACATTGTAATTTAGAAAGTGGTTGTGAATGCCCTAGCCCAGGCTTTCGCAATTTTGGTAGCTTTAAGATAAGTGGTCGCAGTATGTGTCGTGGGAATTCTGAGAGCTGAAGTCCACCCATCTTGTCAAGGTTGTGAAACCCTGCTTTAATCCAGAACAAAACATTCAAACATTCACATTCGTGAATATACCTTTGCCGCAAAACTCGTCCGTGCTAATCACTTCCCTAATCACTCTGTATAAAAAGCTACTTCCAGGTCCTTCCTCATATACACATCGGCAAGTGGACGTAGTCGCTGTTTCAAATATGCCACGATTTCTCGCATCAATATAAAAAACCTGAGAGAATTCGTCAAAAAAAAAAAAGAGGGACGAAGCTCCATTAAAAGAAACCTTTAAATTTTAAAACTGTTTTGTTCTCAGGACTCTTCATTTTCGGTGAGAGGTATACAACGAAGTCCTATCTAGGCTGTCCGCAGAAACTCTGCAATTCTATTCATAGGGGGAGGGGTCCTGCAACAGCATGCGATGCTCTGCCCGCTGCGTGGCGTCACTTCCGCACTGCGCGGGAGAAGCCGGGGAGCTGCGCGAAGGACCCTCTTCTGTGGGTGGAGCTGAACTCTTCCGCCTCTTCGGGTCAATGGCGGTTTGTTTATGCGACAGAGAGAAGGAATTCGGGACTCACGCTTAATTGTGTAGTGTTGAGGAAAGTGTCCTCTGTACATCTTCAGAGGTATCTTCTGTCTGTCCGTCCGTCCGTCTCCTTTTCCTCACTGTTGGGCCCGGACAACGCAGATAGAAACTAGGAGGCTAAGTTAAATCTCAGGTTTACGGACTGATGAAGGGAAGTAATGGTATGCCACTTGCTTTGTACTTACGATGGATGTTGCTGGGACTACAAAAGGCAGGCATAATGATCAAGAGAGGGGAGCACTTCCATGGTAGGGCTAGTTTTCAACTTTGGTTAACGTGTGTAGAAATTCTCCCTTCTATTCATTTATAAATAAAGGGTTATTCAGTGAAGCTGGCGTAAGATTCAGAACAGATTAAAAGAAGTTCAGCTTTATGCAGTATCAAGCGTATCGAGTTTAAATTGCAGTTTCAGGTGTTGGGTTCTCAACCATAAAAAGCTACGTGGCTCAGGGCTGGAGTAGCGATGGCACCATCTTTCTTCAATTGTCTCTGCCCATGCTACAAATCTGGCAGGTTGAGTCCCATCGCTGAAACCAGTGGTTCTCAACTTCGATTGGCTGGGGTATTTGGGGAGTTTAAGCTGCGAAGGTTGACAACGCCATTTTGTGAGCTTCTGGATGGCTTTCTTCTCTGCCATCGTTCTTGTCTTTTGGGTTACCATTCTCCCAGAGATCTGTTCAGCCGTATCCCTGCTCTGCTTTAGAAAGGAATAGAAAATGTGGCTTTTCAGAAATCCCAAGATGGTAATTAGGGATGATTGATGAGGGATGGCAGAAACGAGCTTTTATGTACCTCTCCACAGTTTAGTGAGGTTTTCTTTCTGACTCGATGGTGATATATAAGTCAAATAAATACAGTACAATAAACTGCTTATTTTCCCCACAAGTTATAATTCTGAATTTGAATGACTTTTAAACTCCATTGAAAATTAATGTTGATAATGATTATTATCACCAGTATCACAGGCAACTTGTCTCAGTGTCAGATGATGGAAAACAAACAGGAGGGTACTTCTTCCCTTATGATCTGCCTGTTGGCTTTCCATAGACATATGACTACTTATTGTGGAAACAGTTTTGGGACAGATAGATCTTCCATCAGTTCCAACACTATTCTACCATGCTTCTATTTTTAACCTATTTTTTTAAATCCTAACTATTTCCTGAAAAAATACAGTATTAACTTTTATGGGAAAGAGTGGTTAATTTAAGGAGATGTTATAGAATAGTTACATTTATCTGAGCTGTTTTATTCAAGGTGGCATTATGATTAATCAGATGTTCCCATGTTTGTATGCTTTGTAGTTGAATACTTTATTATAAATTTTGACTTAATGGGCCATGTTTTAACAATAGACAAAATCTGCCTATATGCATGGGTAAAATTTCATTTGTATTTGATAGCTTATTTAATGGATGCCTCTTTTTCCTATACCAGGGATAGGCAACCCAAAAACAAAACACTGGGAGCCGCAAAACCCTTTTGATATCTAAAATGAAGATAACACTGCATATATCCTTTTTTACCTTTAATATATATATACCTTGAGTGTTTTTTTTTTTTTTGATGCACCCTGTCAGCCCAAATATGGGAGAAAGAAATCTGCACACAGCCCAGGTTCAAATCTCAGAAGGGTATGTCTGGCTTAAGAGAGTTAAAAAGCTCGAAATAGCTTTATTCTTTGTTGGCAATCTAAAATTGTGTGTGTGTGTGTGTGTGTGTATACACACACACACATACATATACATATACATATACATATACATACATATACATACATATACATATATATATATATATATATATATATATATATATATATATATATATATATATATATATATATTTTCTGAGGTTTTCGCGGGTATTTGTATGTAGGTCTTTGGTTGTTCGGGTTTTCTCCCACGTAAAATTGGAAGTGTCTTGGCGACGTTTCGACGAAGTCCCATTCGTCATCTTCAGGCTGGTGCTTTCAGCTTCGTGCTTTCGAGCAGCAATGTGTGGTCTTAGCTGTTTCTTCCTTTTAACTGCCAGTGGGGATATGAACTGATTGGGTGGGAGCTTGGCTTGTTCTGATTGGGTGGAGGTGTGTTCTGAATGGTTAGCTCTGATTGGCTGGGGGGTTGGCTGTGCTCTGATTGGCTGGGGGAGTGTTCTGTTTGGGTGGGGGCTTTGTTGTGCTCAGGTTAGTCTGAGTTGCAGGGGGGTTTAAGATGGTGGGCTGCCTTGCTATTTTTTGGCTTCGTGTTCGTTCGTGGTCGTGCCTCATCTTCATGGTGGGTGTCAGTTTGCTTCATGTATGGATTGGAGGGGTTTAAAGTGGCTAATGATGCAGCTGTGGTCTGGCGAAGGCCATTTGCTGGTCTCTTTCTGGGGATGGTGCCTTTTTTCCTCTTGGAGGGTGACCCCTCTCCTGCTGCATTTCTTGCCTGTTTTTTGCTGCCACCTGCCTGCGCGCCTGGCACAAGGTTGTAGATCTGCTCCTGGCTGGCCTGTTTTATTTCCTCTCTCCCCCCCCCTCCTTTTGCCTTTGGTGCAGCTCTAGCTGACTCCTCCTCCCAAGGCTTCCTCTTTTTTCCCCCTCTCTCCTTCTGCCAAAACTGCCTCCTTTTATAGCCTCTTCTGTATCTGCCTTCCTCCTCCTTTCTCTTGTGGGTGAGCCTATCCTGGGGCCTTTTTTTCATCCCAGCAGCCCTGCAGCTCCCAAGGACTCTCACACTGCGCCGTGAGAGAGTCCTAACATTTGTCTGAAATGGTATACGGCTTCCTGCCTAAGCATGGGGTTGGACTGGAACACCTCCAAGGTCCTTCCAACTCTATTATTCTATTCTAGTTCATATACACATCTGCTGTACTCTGTGTGCACAATTATTAGGCAAGTGAGTATTCTGGTGGATTGATTTTATTATTGAACAACTACAGAGCTTTCGGTCAATTCAAAATATTAATAAATCTCAAACCTGAATATTTAAGAAAGTAAAAGTGAGGTTTTGGCTTTCTTAGGAGAATATATGTGCACAATTAGAGGGGAAATTATTAGTGTGCAGAATTATTATGCAACTAAATGAAAAATGAAAATTTGCCTATCTCACTTGTTTATTTGCATCTGTTAAAGTGAGAATAATAACTCAAAATGTACAAATAAACATTTCTAACATTTCAAAACAAATCAGTGACCAGTATAGCCATCTTTTCAATAACAGTGATAAGCCTTCCATTCATCGAGTCTGTCACTTTGTTGATCTGTTGACAGTGTTTGTGCAGCAGCAGCCACAGTCTTTCAAACACTTTTCCTTCACCGTAAATCTCCCGTTTAAGAAGGGCCCACAAGTTCTCTATAGGGTTTAGGTCAGGTGAGGAAGGGGACCATGTCATTATTCTTTCATCTTTAAGGCCTTTAGTGGCCAGCCACACAGTGCATGTGATGGAGCATTGTCCTGCATAAAAATTTTTGAGTCCATCTTCAACCCCAAAAGGTCCAACTAGCTCATCTTTAATAATATCAGCCCATACCAGTACCCCACCTCCATCTTGCTGGTGTCTGAGTCGAAGTGGAGCTCTGCCCGTTACTGATCCAGCCGCGGACCCATCCATCTGGTCAGTCAAGAGTTACTCTTGTCTCATCAGTCCATAAAACCTTTGAAAAATCTGTCTTCAGATATTTCTTGGCCCAGTCTTGCCATTTCGACATATGTGTCTTGTTCATTGGTAGAAGGGTTTCAGCCTTCCTTACAGTGTCCATGTCTCTGAGCACTGAACATCTTATACTTCTGGGCATTCCAGGTAGGTTGCAGTTCTGGAATATGAGAGCACTGGAAGATAATGGGTTCCTGGTAGGTTCATGTTTGATTCTCGAATCTTTGGCAGTTAATATAAGTCTTTTTTTCCAACACGTTTCTTGCAACCCTGTTGACTATTTGCAATGAAACGCTTGATGAAATTGGTCCCAATATCTTAGCAATTTCAGGAGTACAGCATCCATCTGAAAGACCTTTTGCAATTTTTGTACTTTTCAGAGTCAGTTAAATCTCTTTTTTGGCCCATTTTGCCTGAGGAAAAGAAGCTGCCTAATAATTATGCACACTTTGATATAGGGTGTTGATCTCCTTAGACCACACCCTCCCTCATTACACAAATACACATAACCTGATATGCTCATATCCACTAAGCATTTAAGTTTATATAGCTTGGAGGTGGAAAATATGCAATGCAATGATATAGTCAAAATACTCACTTGCCTAATAATTGCTCACACAGTGTAGAAGCCTAGCATATCTTCTTTTTGGGTCAGTGTCCTATTTAGTCCATCTGTTTCATTTTTCATGCTAGGTAACAATACTGAAAACAAGATATTTCAGAAGAGGATGGAAGGCCAAACGACCAACTTAAATAGGTTTAGTTATCATTGTGGCAGTTAACTAACCCAGGCGTGGTATTTTCTTACATACTGAAGATGTATTTTCTGTGAGAATAAAACCATATATATTTGTGTAAATTTGATTAACATTTTTCTTTCTTTATAACTTGATTTTTAAACCATTATCTTAAATGATTTGGGCCTCTAATCAGAATAATTAGTTGTTATTCCACAAGTGATTTATGGTGAGATACTTGTATTTAAAATTGTAGTTTAGTTTCAAATTAGATTTGACGGTGAGAGAACTGCTCAGTGTTTTCTAATGAGTTGTGTAGTTTTAATGAGATGCCATGTTGCATTTGTATCTTAGATACATATCAGATGCATTTGAGGTATACCTTAGATCAGGGCTTTTCAACCTTTTCACCCATTGTACCACTTTTAGGATATGGCAATATCCGAGTACCACCAGTTGCCTAGCAAGTTGTCAAAATGATGACAAAAAAAGAAAAAAAGTGATAAAATACAGGTAGTCCTCGACTTACAGTAGTTCGCTTAATGACTGTTCGAAGTTACAATGGCACTGAAAAAAGTGCCCCCCAAGCCACAGCCAAGCAAGACACCTACCTGCCCACCCAGCAGCGCTCTTCCTTCTGTTCAAGGTTTTCATTGTTGTGAGCATTTCTATTGAGGATTGACAACAGGGGTGGGGTGGGGGGGTGTTTGGTTTTTATTCCCCCCGTCTGCTGGGTGGTTGTAGTAGGTTTTGGTCACTTCACATGACCCTGGGACACTGTGACCATCATAAATATGAATCAGTTGCCAAGCATCTGAATGTAAATCACAAGACCCTGGAGATGCTGAATATTCCAGCTGATTGGTGCTTCTTCTGGGCTCAGCAGAAGTGCAAGGATCAGTGCCGAGCTCCAACTGGAGCCTGGTGCTGATCCTGGTGCTTCCACTGAGCCCTGACAGCCCCGAAGAAGCGCCAATCAGCTGGAAAGCAGCACTGATCCTGGCGCTTCCACTGAGCCCTGCAGCTGCAGCCATCTCTTGCTCAGGCTTGTGCGGTGCTGCCACTGGTTCAGCTCATTCCCCTCCCCCGCTACCACTTTTCTAGGATGGTCGCATACCACCTGCCAGATGCCAATGTACCACAGGTGGTACCCGTACCACTGGTTGAAAAGCCCTGCCTTAAATAGCACAATTCAGTTCTTAAATTGGAATATGTCTTGTTGGAAAAGTAACATTGCAAATCAGCCCAAGAGTTGCTTTGGATTAAAGTAGGATAGAAATGAAACAAATAAAAATACAGTACTGTCTTTTTTTTTTTTAAAATCAGCTTAAAAGGATTGTTTTTGTTTATTAATTTTTATGACTTACATTGTATATTCCAGGGCTAAAAGATGAAAGCCAAAGGAATCTAGACAAAAGCTGTTTATATATTAACATCAAAAATGAATCCAAATACTCCTTTCAGTGGACATCCATCAGGAGTGTTTCAAGCATCATCTGGTGTGTCAACTGGAATGTTTTCAAGTCAGCCACCATTCCAGTTTAATCAGCTCTCTCTCTTTGGATTGAACAGTGGAGGAGTAAAGAATCCAGGATTTACTCACTTGTCTGACTTTACTATTACTTCAGGACTGCATAATTCTTCAGGTCAAGGCTTGGGATTTGGGCAACTTCCAGGGTTTACACAGTCGTATTCTCTTGGACAAACAACAACATTTGTGACTTCTGCACCAATGACTGCTTCTGTTCCCAGCAAATCTGGGTTTAGTTTCAGACCACCTGCAAATCTTGGCAATTCTCAGAGTACTTCTGCTTTTGGAACTGTGCTTGGAGAAACTTCAAGTGATAGTTTTGTGAGATCAGATTTTGGTTTCAAAAGTCCTGAAAATGCAGTGTTCAAACCTATCTTTGGGACTAATTCAGAACAAGAGAAAATACCAACTTCGGCTGTTTCTTCTTTTTCTTTTCCAGGCGGTGCAGGAAAATTAACCCCTTTTGTCATTTCTCAAGAAAGCAGCAGTTCAGGTAATACTGGTTTCAATTTTTCCAAACCAGTCAGTAGTAGCAGTACTTCAGCAGTTTCTTTCAGTACTTCTTTACCGAGTAAGACTCTAGCAGATGATAAAAAAAGACCTATGGCTCTCTTTACAAGTCCTGGTAGTTTTTCTTCTTTTTCAAACTCACCTTTGCCTTTGAGAGATACTTTCCAAATTAACAAAACTAACAAGATGGAACATGAAGATTTGTTAATCCCAAGTGAGCCACTTCCCACTCTTGGAAAAGGAATGAAAAGGAAAGAAGAACAAGAGTATTCCCCAAGGCATCATGATTATGACACTGATGAACTAGAACCTCCATCAAGGAATGATCATGCTTCTAATAAGCGTCCTGTTAGACTGAATCGTCCGCCTACACAAGGTCTATTTGGTAGAGTATTACAAGATGTTCTGAAAAGCAACAAAAAGGAATCTAAAATTGAGCGTGTTCCCATTGAATCTGGAGAAACAGTAGCAACGAATGTGGCAGCGGGAAGTCAGTCTGGTTTTATAATGGCTAAGCCAATGTCAACACTAAGAAAAGAAGAAAAGGGAAAATTGAAACATGGTAGGTAGCAGAGTTTAAAAATAATCAAATGAAAGTGGAAATGGTTGCAATTAATTACATTGTAAGTAGTGATCTGCTTATAAGTAGAGCATTTTGCATTTTAATTGATAGATGTGACCTTGAAATATAAGTGCTTATTTTTAATCACTGTTCAATTACTTCCAGATTCTGCTGCCTCAAACCCTTTGCGTCGAAATCGGAGCACTGGGAGCATAGAAAGCCTCAGATGCTCACCAAGTGAACTGACAGCCATCCAGTGTAAAAATATTCCTGATCATCTAAATGACAGAAATGTTCTTCACAAACATTTTGAGAAGTTTATTAAAATCCAACAAATCCGTACCAACCGTAACAAAAAGCTTGCCATTGTACGCTGTTTTGATCATGTGAGTTTTAAAATATCAGAAGATTAATATCTATAGAGGATATATATTAGACTTACTGGGAAATTTACTCCATATGCTTCTAAAGTTGGTTGGCTACTATCATATTTTGCAATTTAATTGCAATTAAACACAAATTTCATTAAAATTATTGGGATATCAGTGGCTATTCTGAGTTGCAGTTTATAATATATATTATAGAAATGGTGACTATAAAATAATTATTTTACTTAGCTTTCAAAAAACATATATTTTTTTCCAAATAGTTAACTTCATGACATAAAACTTTCTAATCGATGATATCAGGTCTGCATGTTGACATTTTCTTAATAGTAGAAATAGTAGAAATTGCTATCCTTCAAAATGGAAAATTCCTGGAAAAATTAAATTATTGTGGAAAACTGAGACAAAAAAACTATTGGCATATCAAACAGACATTTGCCCTCTTGAGGAATTAATTTCCTCATTCAGTGAATGAGAGTGGATTTGATACAAGATGTAGGCTGTACATGTGCTAATTAGATACTATAATTGTTACTACAGATACAACTTTTTTCATTGTACTCCAGACATCCATGTACTTAATAAATATAGGATAGATGGAAAGTATAATTTTCAATACTATATGAATTCTGGGGGAGAACGAAGAAAAATCTCTAGAGCAGATGACTTTTCCCAATAGCTTCTGATGGCAGAAGATATATGAAATCTTCCTCTCAGTTCTTACACTTTGACAAACAAACCTCATTGGACCTTTTCTAAAACATTTTAATTATTTGGCATTATTGCACTTGTTTGTGTTTAGTTTGTGTGTGTATATATGTGTGTGTGTGTGTGGGGGGGGGAGATTGCAAGAGCATGTTATGGTAAAGCAAAATGTTCCAGGATATTATCAAGCCTGGTTATCTTTCACATTTCACTGAATGAGAAACTTGATGCACAATTTATTCTCTTTTGCTCTGCCATTTTCCTCATCAGATTTCACTAAAAATTCAAGAAAATTATCTTTGCATTGTTTTAGATTATAAGAGATTGCCAGGATTAGAAAATGTTCCACTGCAAGAAAGGGACTCCTGTATCGAGTTCATTCCACATTATTTATTCAGCCTCCAAATTATGGGAAAGAAAGTTCATATAATTTCAGATGAGAGTTCCTCAACTTACATTTGTATGCATTTTTGATATTTATATGAAACAGTAAAATGTTTTTGGCTAATTGAAAATAAATGTTGTAAAAACACCTCAACTGTAGGAACTTTTATATTAATTCATAGCATAATAATAATGAATAATTATAGTCAGTTATAAATATATATAATATATAATTTTTTCTTCAAATTTCTATCCTGCCCCAATCTATAATTTACTTCTTTTTCCTATTGGAAAAAGCATTACTTGTACAAATCTCTGTCCTAAATTATTCTTCATGCTTATACATCTCTTAGTATTGCAGCAGTAAGCTCATCCTTCCTTCTCACAAAAGAACTCAATGGCATTTATGTCCTTTCAATTATCCCTTTGGGATCAAAGAGCAAATAATTTTTCAACCTGGACTGCATATTCCAAATATTCCCACTTCACTTTAAAGGTGGGGATCCTGGTTTTAGAATGCTTTATATTTTTTGCACCCATATCTGGTTTCCCTGATAGATACCTGATATTAAAATATATAAACTGAATTAACTGATTACGTGCTATCAAATCAGTGTGAACTCTTAACGATCACATGGATAGATTTTCTCCACAACAATCTGTATTTAATCTGGTCTTTCAGGTTTTCCAATGATGCACCCATCACTAGTATAACTGAGTCCATTGAACTTGCTGCTGCTTCTCCTCTTCTTCTTGTTCTTTCTGTCTTTCCCAGAATTAGAGCTTTCTCCAGAAATCTAGGTCTTCACATATGTATCCAAAGTAGATAATTTGAGCTGGTCATTTGATGTTTGATGATCCATTTAGTTGTTTTTGTGGCTGTCCATGGTATTCTCAGAAGTTTACTCCAATAGTAAATTTCAAAAGCATCAATTATAAACATATAGATTTCAAGCCAGAACTATTCCTGTTAGGCACAATAGGAGGAAACTATGTGAAAGATTGTATATACTTAATTTTACATGTATTAACTGCAGCAAGAATTGTATTTGCCCAATATTGGAAAAATGAAAACCTACCAACGGAAGAACTAATTAAGAAAATTTTAGATTGTGCAGAAATGAATAGATTGACATTAAAGATAGCGAGTTAAAAAGAAAGGAACGTGATATGTACTGTGTGACATTGAATATATACTAGTAAGAAGACTATTGAGCGATTAACTAACATATTGATTACGATAATATAGAAATTAATTTTTACTTATTGTTTTTTAAATACATGAACCTAGGGGTAGGCAACCTTGACTCTTTTATGACTTGTGAACTTCAACTCCCAGAATTCCTGAGCCAGCCATGCTGAGGGGAAAGGGAGAGGTTTCCAACCTATGTATATATAGTTTGGGGGTCATTTAATTTTAGTCTTGTTTTTTCATTGTGCTCCTTGACTTTTATTATTAGATGTTGCTGATCTTTTACATTTTTAGCTATGAGACTAATATCATTATCATAGTGCAGATTATTGATGTTTTGTTTTCAGATTTTAAAACTATGTCCATCTTCTTCTTCCATTAAATAAATATATTCTCTGTTGCAGTTTTTCACTACTTTACTTCTTGATTTCCTTATTCTAATAATTTGCTTTATTTTGTGCCTGAAATGTATATGTAACTTATCTCCAGTTGTAACTCTTATTTCATTAGAGAAGATGGACATTTCATGTAAATCCTGCCTCTAGTGTTATATTGGAATATTTGCTCTCACAAAAAATATCCTGTTTCCCACAAGGATGAGCAATTTTTAAAAGTCTTCCTTATATAAGAAACAGATGCTGTCATTAAATCAAGTTATATAACATTTTGTCTGCCACTTTGTTCCTAACTAACCTTTTCCCCCCTCTAGGCATCTGCTGTTTTGGCTAGAAAAAAAGTAAAAGACTTACACAAAGATATAGTGACAAATTGGCATAAAAAGAAACCAAGTAAGCTACTTTGTTTTAAAGATCAAATATTAAAATATTGTAAATATTTTGTGTTTCATAGAGACTCTACGTGCTGTATATTGTGGATTCTTTGTAGCGGTCCATTGGCAATGTCTGAACTTTTTATTAGAATTTGTGACTTAGTGAGACATGCATGAAGAGTGTTACCTCCTTAGCTTTCCCACATCATTTCTTCCTGTATGAAAAGCTTTCAGTTCAGCCTTTGATTAATTATCACTTGTTATGTCATTTGAAACTAGAAAGCAGTGGTTAATTTTAATCAATGGTGGTTTATTAAAATGATTTATTTAAATTGGCTGTACTAAAAGTTGCAGCTTCTCAGAATTGAAGGTTAGTGTTTCTGAACTCTCCTTTGCCCTCTTTTAGGCCAGGAGAAGGAAAGTTTAAGCTAGGGATGGGGAGAATCTAGTATTACTCATTCTGAACATGAGAAATGTCTGAGAGGTATATTAATTTTGTGCTATGCAATAAAATTGCATCCCAGAAAAATACTGGGGTTAAAATAAGTGAGAAAGTAGAAGGGATTGAGGGGAAAGTTGGAGGGATTATAGCAAAATGAGCATGTTTTAATCCTGCCACATACAAATTAAAACAAGAGAACAACAACAACAACAAAAACAAACAAACCCAAAACACTGGTATAGGTTTTCTGGCCTCAGTCCTCAAGAGTGCAGAACTAGAGCTCACAATCTAACTGCAATGTTGACATTTCCTTTATTCTCAAAACCGTCTTATTTTTTACATAGGCAGGATGAACAATTACATAGCACAGCATTAAGAGATCAGAAAGTCTTTTTCTCTTTTAATTATGATACTGTTTGGGAAACAGTGTTTGTCTTAAAAAGAAGGATAAGGGTAGAGTGAGTAAATCAGGTACAAAATTCACCACTTAAACTAGAAGTAATATTTAAAGCAGTGGTTGTCATTCTGTACTGTTAACTAACTTACCTTAACAATGTCTGCATATGTTTACATTTTAAATCAATTCCAAAGTATTTCATTTTCTAGATTATGTTTCATAATGTTTCTGAAATAAATTCAGTTTATCAGTAATACTGGACCACATTTCCCCCCTGAAGGTTTGACTTCCTGAAAACTTTTGGCGATATGATAGACTCCTTTAAACTGAACACAAATACAATTTTAGAATAAAATGTGTAGATGTCTTGACAAATATGAAATTAACTTTTAATGACTATAATGTATTTAATCACATAATGTTTCCAACTCAGTACATGAGTTCAACAGGGTTAAAAGTGCTTTGCTGCTGATTTTTGTTTCTACTCGGTATCTGATACATTTAGCTACAGTGTCCAACAATAATTAGCCAGCATTAATGGATTTCAATTGCCCTGACACTGATTTTCCATTGTGTCATTGTCCTGGTGAAATCTTTCAGCATGTTCATCACTGACTAGATTTTTGGGAAAGAAGTCCACAAGTGTGAATGTAGAAAAGAATCTTCAGTGACATATTGCATTTTATGGTTTTGTATGCTATAAGAAGTTTGTTGATCAGCTAAATGCAGTTTGATGCTCTGTAGTTCAGCAAAAAAATTCTCAATGACATCCTTAAATACTTTCCAGGCGATTTTCTCTGGCCCCCAGTAACAGATCTTCAAACCACTTGTCACTGATGATGTATTTGATGTGTGGACCAACAGAATGCTTTTCTTAATCTTGGCATCAGTTATTCTTGAAACATGTCTCAAATAACAAAAACCTTCTCTATTCTTATTCATTGTTTTCACAAATTTTTTCACCAGTCAGAGTTTTATGTGAAATGGAGGCAAAAATACCTTTCTCAGGTCAACAAGTGTTTCATGTGCCACATTTTTCTGTCCTGGAACCAAATTCTTTCAGAGTGGCCATTTCTTTTTAATGTAATGTGACTCTCTTGCAACATTGTCCCATTTGCATATGCCACAATAGTACTTGATATATCTGAGCTGCTTTCCAAGCAGCAGAGCCACTACTTTTAGATCTCCAGGGATATTCCAGGTGTACTTGGGGTACTGAATGTGCTTCAACAATAATTCCATGTTTCTGTATGTTTCTTTCATGTATGAACATAGCTCACAGATACTGAAGGGTATACATTACTATTGTGTAAAAACAGAAGATTTCTATACAACAGTTCGTAATAGGTTAAATTACAGGTTATTTTCATGACTAGAAGTCAAAAATCTGTAAGATAGTCCCAAAAGTGTTCAGGAAGCAAAATTTTCATTGTCCAGTGAATCCATTGAAGTGTATCTGTACTAAAAGAAGAAAAAAGGGAACATAACATTTTTTTTCATCTTCATATGTCTGCTTTTATATATTTCTTTCTGTCATTAGTGGGATAGATTCTGTGAGATTATATTTAAACATTGAATTGCTGTACATTTATCAATGGTAGTGTTAAGTAGTTAATTTTTTGTGTTCTCAATGTGGAAAGGTCCTAATAAGAAAGACTATTCACCTAAGGAAGAGAAGCTAGATGAAAGTGATGGGAGGCAAAGCAATGAACAACTGAGTCATCAGCCTTCTCTATTTTCTAAATCCTTAATCCGTCCCACTGGAAGTGGAAATCTGTCAAACAAGAGGTATGTATTTCTCAATAGTCTTTGTGAAATAAAATTAATAGATACTTTATATATTTAGTAAATTATATTATAACTTAACATTTAGAAGGGCAATTCTGTGGGCTATCTGTATTATGCCTTTATATATTTATTTGTCATACTCATTTTGAGTTTGCTGTAGGCTTGGTAGTGTTGAATAGAACTGCCACTGGGAGTGATTGTTTTATGATATTTGTGGTCAGTTGAAAACTAAGAAGACTGATGCCAAGCTAATTGTGAAAGAAACCAAGTGTTGTTTTTATATTACATTCTGAAAAATTTGGATATTTAGGGAAATATTTATAATTACAGCTTCTAAGGCAGTTGCCATTATAATTATTCACTCAAATATACAGAGAAGATATTTCTTACTCTTTAATAATTTGCTGTTCTAGTGATAAAGAAGATGTAATTTGGTTAATCACTTCTTAAAAAAATAGGGATATAATTAATTTGAACAGAAGAAATTGTCCTATGCTAGGTAAGATTGTCCTATTTCACTAAGCATGATATTTTCCCAGTTTGAAAATCTCCATATTATTTGCATAGTATCTTTCTGTGAACTGTCCCTCGTTTATAATATAGCTTTACCCCCTTCCCTTTTGAAACGGAGATTCCTACCTCACCAGCTTCCATCATTATGTATTAAGAGATTGTAGTAGTTTTCCCATTCCCCATGTGAGTAATTTTCTGTTAGTTGGTACCTAGTACACTCTCAGTTAATCCCTACATCTAGATCAAAGCAAGCACACATATTACTCAGTGAAATATAATTGATGTTTGTTTATTCATGTATTAAATACCAACAAGCTTCAAAACAGTTAACAGGCAAAATGGGATAAAAGGCAAGCAGAAGCAATGAAAGAAAGAAGCATGAACTATGAGCAAGAACGTACATTATCTATTTATTTCCAATAGAAGAGAATATATGTATCTCTCTGAGCTTGGTTAATTGCTTGCAGACATTTCATTACCAATTAAATATCTATATAACATTCAAAAGACACAATATAAAAGCTAAGATGAGAACAAAAAAACAAGACATACTCTATTTTCTACAGTGACAACATCCATAAGCAGGAATTAACACCAGGCAAACAAACAGAAAACAATATCCTAATCAAGGATCTACTAAAGAGAAAACCATGCCCTTACCAACACTGGCAGAGCAATCTACTGTATATAAACAGGGAGTAAATCCCACACTTAACTTACACTAGTGATATTACATATTTGGGTAATGAAACATCTGCAAGCAAGCAATAGCAAGGATTTCACAGTTCAGTTTTGAGCTACATATATTCTCTTCTATGGAACATATATAGATAATGTAAATTCTTGCCCATGTTATTTTTTATAACTATCAAAAGGACACAGGGCTTTCCAAAGCCCTGGAAATAATGTTATGGCTAATATTGCTGTAATTGCTTATTTGCAATTACATCCAGGGCTTTCCAAAGCCACTGGAAATAATGTTATGGCTAATATTGCTGTAATTGCTTATTTGCTGATTATTACATTATCTATTTGTTGACTAAGCACTGTAAAAATAATTAAATTTGCTATGGGTAATTAACATGGGTTATTCCAAAGGAAGTGGCCTTTGATTAGTCCAGCTTTAATCCTTTTGTGTACATAATAGCACCAGAAATAAGATAGGACCCTAGGTGAATCCCTTCACTGTTCTGTATTATTAAAGAAGCAGTTGATGAATGGGAGTGATGTATTAAATTTAAAACCTGCTAGGTGTACTACATAACACTCATGATCTCACAAGCGGCATGCTAAACGCTAACTGAAAAGCTGAAATTCTACAGGTATGTTGGGGAACATGGAAGATGGAAATTGACCAGTCATAGGCAACCTGATATTCTTCAGACATTTTGAACGATAACTTCCACACTATTTTACAGATGAATTTGACATTACATTCATTTTTAGACTTTTTAGTCCCAAGGAATGGTAAATATTTTTTCAAGAGTAAAATGTTTTTGTGAAGTAACTAGCATGATTTAATTATATTATTCCAGACTACAGCTAAATCACATCATTACAAGCAGACAGCCATATCCAAGGAACACAAAAGAAATAAAGCTATTCCTTCACCAGGTGATCTAGATACTCTGCACACACACACACACACACACACACACACACACACAGAGAGAGAGAGAGAGAGAGAGAGAGAGAGAGAGAGAGAGAGAGAGAGAGAGAGAGAGAGAGACTGACTATATTGTTGGCATAAAAAAGGTCATGTATTCTTGTGCACTAGGTAAAGAAATGTTACTTTTTTATGTCTTGCTTCTTATAGTTCTCCAGCTAAGAAATCTGGCCTTAAAAAGTCTTTGCAATTTGAGCCATATGCCTTTGATTGTGGATCTGAAGGTCAGGGCTCAGAGAATGCAGAAGTGTCAGCCTCTTCGTTCAACAATCTTATAGGAATGGTGGTAGAAACCTCTGAGGATAAGTACCGCCTTTTAGACCAGAGAGATAAAATGATGCGTCAAGGTAAGAGTTGTTGAAGCACTAGGATAATGATACTTGAAATGTAAATTGGGTAAGAGGATTTGTGAAGTCATGAAGCCTTATAACTATTATTACACAACAATGAAGATATTAACTATTGATATACAATTCTACATTATTCAGGAATATAGAATTGTAATACTTCCTGTATTTTCCCCATAGTATTTTATTTTATATTTCATTCTGCCAATTTCCAGTTGGACTTGTGACAGTGTACAGTAAACAAAAATCAGATCAGGTGAGCTTTCTTTCAGTCATTTTTTGTTATTCAGTTATATGCAATTTCCAGAGACTATCTGTACAAGTCCTGCAATTTTCTTGGTTTGCCTCCTTCCTAGGGCTGGAAGAAGGTGATTGGCCCAAGATCTTTCTGCTGGTTATGTGCCTAAGGGGGACATGCTTATGTACTGCATGTTGTGAAATGCAAAAATTTACTCAGATAATAATAAACCAAAATAAATATAACAGTAATAGATAAATAATACAGAAATAATAACTTTTAAAGCTTCAAATCGTATCTTAAGTTACTGTAGCAAAAAAAATAAGTGTGTTGATGACAGGTCTTAAAGGATCTTCCGAGCAACCTTGTTTTTAAGTCTTTTCTAAAAGTCAGTGATGGAGTCATCTAGATTTCTAATGGGAGGATATCCATAAAGTAGGTCCCATTGATGAAAAACAGGAGTTTCTTGCTTTTCTCTGGATCACATAGTGCGAAGAACCTTAAGCATCTACTTCTACAACATGCTCATAGGCAGAATCTATTTAAAAGGGTGGTTTTCTAGATACCTGAGTGTTAAACCGTATGTAGTGTTTTAAAGATCAAAACTAGCACTTTGAAGTGGACCTGGAAACCTACTGGTAATCAATATAAAGCTTGCTGCACCAATATTTTGTGTAAATAGTAGTCTTCATCCATCAGTAAATGCATTGTGGAGATTGTAGCTTTTGAATAGCTTTCAGTGGTCCAGTCAATACTCAGGATGGTAGAATAAGACTGCAGGATACCACAACCACTAAGTCTTGCTAGGTTTGAGCATGACTGTTCTTCTGCATCCTGATTACCACTTGAACAACAAAGTATCCCCTGGACAGCTATATAGATACACATGTATAATTCCTAGCAGGAAAATCAATAATGCACATGTAATGTGGTTTTAAAAAAATTAGAGTTGCAAGGGTTCATTAGTGCCAGATACATAGAACTGTTTTAGCTTCCTTATCTTCGTAAATAGCTATTGTGGGACATCACTGGTAATTGCAGTTCAATTTTATTATACATGGACAGAATAAAGCTAGAATAATAAAAAAGTTGCTAAAATTTAAAAATTCCCATTTTACTAATTGTACATCTTATGGATATGTTATCAATTCATTTTATGAAGCATTTTTAAATATGGACATTTTTCCATGAAAATGTAGCAAGTTTATTTTTGGAAAATGTTTATGTTTATACCACTTTGTATATATAAGGCAGAGAAAGTGGCACCATGCACCACAGGTAGTCCTTGACTTATGACAGCTTGTTTTACAACCATTCAGAATTAAGATGGCCTTGAAATTGGGTGCTTTATGCCTAGTAAAGCATTTTTGGTCATTATAAAATATTGCACCCCTCCCAAGGGGATGTGGCTGCACTTTGGGTGCTTGACATTTACGATTGGTTGCAGTGTCCCATGATCACATGACCATAATTTATGATGTTTTTTGTTTTCTGCAAAAAACACCCATTTGGAAGAATGGTTTTACTTAACAACGGCATGATTTGCTTAATAACCATGGTGATTTGCTTAATGACCATCGTGTTTGAAAAATGGGCCTGGTCATGTGGTTGCCTCGATGTATGACCACAATGACTTATGACTGGATTTCTGGGCCCGATTGTAGTTATAAGTCAAGAACTACTTGTATTTTTATCATTATAAATATTGATCCTGTCTTTGCATGTGTAGTTCTAGTGAAATGAATTCTCTATAACTTATCTATTTAGCTCGAGTAAAACAAATGCATCTTGGCAAAGCTAAAACCTTTGTTGGCACATGTCCAGATATGTGCCCAGAAAAAGAGCGTTACATGAGAGAAACAAGGAACCAACTTAGTTCTTTTGAAGTGATACCAGGAACTGACAAGGTAAAAATAATTGAATACTTTCCATGCAGAAATTCTCCAACTTCAGATTTATTATTTGTGTTTGGATACAACGAGGTCTTACATCCAAACTCTTAAGCATGTCTTTGACTTAGAGCTCTTTTTTACCTGCTGAAAGCTATTGACACATTTTAAAGATACTTCATTCATTCCCATTTCCTTTGTCTATTATTTAATTCTGCACATGGTAAAGAGCTGTCTCCTTTCTTACACAAATATAAAAAAATAGATTTTGTAGCACCAACAAAACCATAATGAAGATTTTCATTTCCAGATCCGAACCTTATTTTACTGCTTTTTACTTAAGACAGTTTAGAACAGGGCTTTTCAACCAGTGATATGCATACCACTGGTGATACGCGACCACCTGGCTGGTGGCACATACCATCGCCTCCCTCCCCCCCCGTGGCGTCGCCTTCCCCCCGCTGCGCTTCTTCCCAGCTCACTTGTTTGTGGAAAACATGCTGCTTGGTGGCAGCCTGCATGAACCCTACCGAATGTGCCCTGCAGGAGGGCGTGTGAAGAGCGTAGGCGTAGAGCAAGGCCCCGCCCTCCCAGGGATTCATTATGCAGCAACCGGATTGACTTCTTCTCGTGCACGCAGGTCAGCGGGATCCATATCGTCCTTCCCCTCTCTCTTCTTACTTCACAGTAAGCGCTAGCCTGATAGGAGACAGAACCATCCACTCCCTTGGCAGGAATGAGTTTGAGACCGCAGGAAGGGGTTTAAGACCGCTCACATTGCGGCCCTGAGTGCCAACATCACAACTGCCCCTCCTTCTTTTCCCCCTTCCCCCCCTCTCTGTTGCGGCCTCACTGTCTTCCATCTTCTTTTCCTCCCCTCCGCGAGCTTGCGATACCCCTCAGGGCCCTCACGTTGTCTCCCGAGGATTCAGCTGTTTGGCAGCCAGAAGTCGGAGCCGCTCAGCTGTTGGTCAGGATGCCCACGGAGCCGACACCCATGCTGTCAGGTAGAACGGCGCCAGCCGCTGGTCTTCTTTGCTGCCCCACATGTCCTCGAACCCTCCCCCGCCCGTTCATATCAAGCCCGCGGGGGCTTGACAGGGAGAGAGGGAGTGAAGGAGGAAGGGGCTCCTCCTCCTCTCCTAAGGTTCAAAGCATGATCAGCTTCCCAAGGGCACCACAATCCTCACAAAAGCGGGGGGAGAAGCAAAGGGGGCGAGAAAGCTCGCGATCGGCTCGAAGGAGCACCTGTCAGCATCGGAGATGAGAAACTCCCCCACAAACCCAGGGGAAGGGGTAAAGAAAAGGAGCCCCCTTTGGGAGGAAACCGCCATCTTCTTCTCCTCGGCTTTGTGCTCTCCTGTTTCTCGGCAGCTGAGCTGCCAAGCCTCTGTTGGCTGGAACTCTGCGTTTGTTTTTTTTTTACTTCTCATCTTCACGTGTTTCTGCCGTACCTCCTCGGCACTCCCGGGAATGGGGCGGGAGGAAAAAAGCTTGGCTAGGCTCGGCAAAGAAAAGCCACGGAGCTGCAAACTACGATCAAAGGCAGGCCGGGGAAGGGGGTGAAGAAGAGGAAGGAGATTGAGAGAGAGGAAACGCCAAGGTTGTCCTTGCCTCTCCCAAGGACCTCCTGCGCCACTTCACAGGAACACCTGGTTTCAGATTTACGCCGCAAAAGTTTTTCTCGTGCAGAGGAGAGAGGAAAAACAATTGCGGAACACTCGGAAATCCCTTGCAAGACACCATATACTTTGGTGCTTATTTCCTAAGGCCTTCCCCCTGTGTTTTCTGCTCCACTCCGAATTCGCCTCCCTTCCACTCTCCTTACATCTATGGTCCTTAATACAGCCCTAAGTCTGTTTCGCTTTCAACACCCCCTAAAAGTCTTCATTCAGAAGAATGAAGGGGCGCAAATCGGCGTGTGTTCAGAAACGCCGATTCCATGCCCCTGCCCTCTTGTGGAAGCGAGCTGGAAGTAAGAGCCCAGGATCGGGGTGCGCAGCTACAGCTGATCCGCGCTTCTGCAGAGCAGCCCAAAAGCGCAGATCAGCTGTAGCTGCTCTCCTGGGCTCCTGCCCAGCTCACTTGCTCGCGCTTTGCTGGAAAACATGCCGCTTGCTAATTTAGCAGAAGCGCGAATCAGCTGTAACCCGGCGCTAATCCTGGCGCTTCTGCTAAATTAACAAGCAGCATGTTTTCCAGCGAAGCACGAGCAAGTGAGCTGGGCAGAGCTCTCCTCTGCCTCTGCCTCTGCCTCTGCACAGGTAGGTTTGGCATGTCACCGTGGCCACTGGCAGCTCAGCCACCAGCCACGCTGGCAGCCTGTCCCCCTCCCCTTGTCCCTTCCTGGGCACGGAGGGTGGGGGGAAAGGAAGGGGCAAAGAGGGAGGGAAGTAAGGGACAATGAGAGAGGGAAGGAAGGAAGGAACAATGGAAGGAAGGGAGGGAAGGAAGGGACAAAGGAGGGAAGGAAGGAAGGAAGGAGGGGACAATGAGGGAGGGAGGGAGGGATAATGGAAGGGAGGGAGGGAGGGAAGGAAGAGACAGGGATGGAAGGAAGAAAGGAAGGAAAGAAGGAAGGAACAATGGAAGGGAGGGAGGGAAGGGACAAAGGGAAGGAAGGAAGGGACAATGATGGAGGGAGGGAAGGAGGGAAGGAGGAAGAGACAAAGGGAGGGAAGGAAGAAAGAAAGGAAGGAAGGAAGGGACAATGGGAGGGAGAGAGGGAGGGAAGGAAGGCTCCCATGCCTGTCCCACCCCCTCCACCAGAGACCCACGGATCCCTCCCACATCCCTGCCTGCACCCCCCACAGGTACCCTGCAACCTGAGTGATGAGCTGGCCATGACCCTCTGACCATTGACTTCATTTGTCAAAAAGTTGCAAAAGGTGATCACATGACCCTGGGGATGCTGTAACAGTCATAAGTGTGAAAAATGGTTATAAGTCACTTTTTTCAGTGCCATTGTAACTTCGAACAGTCACTAAGCGAATTGTTGTAAGTCAAGGACTACCTGTACTTTATCGTTTTTTTCCTTTTTGGGGGGTCATCAAGTTTGGTGGGCGACTGGTGGTACTTGGATATTGCCTTATCCTAAAAGTGGTACAATGGGTGAAAAGGTTGAAAAGCCCTGGTTTAGAAGATTAGGTAATCAAATAACATTTATTGGACTCAAATTAAATTTAGGAGTATGCTTTTATTCTGTGAGTTCCATTCTTTTCCACTTTAAAAAATTATTTCTTGTTACAGATCTGCATTTACAAAATATGTGAGAAATTTGAAAAAAGTGAATACATTTTAGTTCTTGATTCTTTTTTTCTTCTTTAGTTCTTGATTAATCAGATTTGAAAAAAGATCATAGGTAGTCTGTTGAGATGTTTTGTTAAAAGTAACAAATTCTTATCTGATTTTATATGAGTTCAATTATATCTTATGAAGCTTGATTATATATCATTAGTGGGATGATTTACAGTAGCTGAAGAATGGTTTATATCCAAAATCAAAACCATCAAAATAGAATATTTAATATTAAATACAAAACTCTTGAAAATCTTTTAAAAGTATGGGAAAAGGTTCCAGAATTTGAACTTGATATGCCTCTCCCAAGTTCTTTCTGACATAAAATTCTTCATTTCACTAATTATAAAATAATTTATAGTCCATACTATTTGAAAATTATGCCATATCAATCAAAATCTAGATTCTGTTGGAGAAGATGTAAGCACATTTTTACATACTAGATTAAATACTTATAAATGATTTGATTTGGACCCTTACTCAGGACAGGATTCTACTACACTACAGTATCTGTGATAGGTAGCTACCAGATCTTGTTTGAAAATCTCCAGCAATCTACCATATTTTAGTAAACCATCCTACTGTTTAACCATTCTTTACAATAATGAATTAATTTCCGTAAACTGGCAAATCTTTTCCTGTTCCTCTCTTATATTACAACTGAAACGTGAAGACCAGGCTGTTCTTATATAGGGTGCTGCTTAGCATTGTGAGGATCCAGCTTTGAGTCCATTCTGAACAATGAAAATTCACTATATGACTTGGAACAAATCACTGTCTTTCAGCCCAATCTCTCTTATAGGTAGTCATTGCAAAGGAAAAACGAAAGATGTCTATTTAAGCTACCTTGGATTGCTGAAGAAAAAGTGGGATATAAACTTCAATCCAGAATTTTACTGAGCAAATGTTTTTCTTTCTTTGAGGTTGACCATGCAGCAGCAATAAAAGAATATAGTAGGTCTTCTGCAGATCAGGAAGAACCTTTACCACATGAACTGAGGCCTTCGGAAGTATTAAGCATGACCATGGACTATTTAATATCTCATATCATGGACAAAGGAGAAGGGAACTACAGGGAGTGGTATGATTTTGTCTGGAACAGAACTCGAGGGATAAGAAAGGTAACCATTAAAAAAAACCAGAATAAATACAAATAGAAGGGTAAGACTGAAGGAAATAAAAGGTGAGGCAAGGAAGAGGGACACATTGTGGAGATAGTAAGATAATGCTTACCTGTTCTCAAACTTATTTATTTATTTATTTGCTTGCTTGCTTATTTATAAAATTGATAGGCTGTCCATCTAACCTCAGGGAACTCTGGGCGGCTTACAGTCATATGAAAGGTATTGAGATTCGATCTTTCTCTGTCTCTTTTGCTGTCTTTAAACATTAATTCTATTTATACTGTTTGATTTCTTGTTTGTCTCTGTTTTTTTACACTTCCACTTCCTCTTGTACCTGGAATTATTGGTTAATCTGCATCACCTTTTCATCTTCTGCTATTCCACCAATGAAAAAAGTGATCCCTATTAACTGCACACTTCTTGGGTTGGGATCAGGAAGTGTTTGGAATATTTTCAGTTGCATTATATAAAGCATTAACTGAGATTTATAGAAATATTTAATTAAGAATAGCCGCATCAAGTTTGTAAGTAGATTTTGGTGAGTTTTATTTTGTTGAATTTTGTTGTTCTAACATTTTGCCTTTTTATGTTTGGCTAGGATATAACTCAACAACATCTCTGTTCTCCTCTGACTGTTTCCTTGATTGAAAAATGTGCCCGTTTTCATATTCACTGCTCCCATCATTTGTGTGAAGAACCCATGTCATCATTTGATGCAAAGATTAACAACGAAAACATGACTAAATGTCTCCAGAGCCTGAAGGAGATGTATCAGGACCTTGCAAATAAGGGTATTTACTGCAAGGGTGAAGCAGAATTTAGGGGATACAATGTCCTCCTGAACCTCAACAAGGGGGATATTCTCAGGTGACTTTTTAAATGTTTACAACATTGATTTAACTTTTTTCACTGCAAACATTTGAGTGCATTGTTCATGAATTCAAAACGATAAGATGTAATCACTTTTAATGTAGAGAAGTGTAATTATATGATGGGGTGTTCAGTGAATTTTGGCTAGGATTTGCATTCCAAAAGATAAGACAAGCCAGGGTTAAGAAGTAGAACAGTAGTAGGTAAGAGCAAAAATGCAGTTTAAAATATTTATTATTTTAAATTGATTAAAATATCATTGGATAATATATTAATTATTACAATTTTATGGGAACATTTATAAGAGTTCTGTGGGTCATATTCAAAGGATCTTTGGACATCCTTTGAACTTGTTCCAGATTTTCATAGTGCAAAATTAGAAGAGACCAAAGTTTTATAATCATCTAACACTGCCAAAGACAAAACCATCCATCTATCATTAGTTCTTTTAAATTATCATCTAGCCCAGACAGTGTTTCTTGCTGGCTGGTAATGACAAATTATATCCTGTTTTTGAAATGAACAGGATAGCTGCTTCTGTTCAGCAGTATTAAATTGTCCAGGTAGTAGGTTTTTCTCAGTAGATAGACATTGATAATAATTTATCCCCAAGAGTCCATTTCTCTTTTATAATAAAGAGAAGTACTTAAAAGTAAGGTTGAATAGTTCATACATTTCATAAATTTACTGAGAAGGCTTTTTGCAAAAATATGCTCTTGAAACCAGAAAAAAACAGTTCTAAGTTAACTAGTTCAAAAGCAAAGAGTTGAAGCACCTTAAAGGTTAATTATGACATGTACTTTCATCAACTTAAACTTCCTTCATCAGACTCATGAAAAAGTTGATTACTGTCGTAATATTGATTTAAAAGATGGTAAGTTGACCTAAAAGTTGAGAGGTACAAGAGATTGTTTTCATTGTTTTATATTAACTTCATTACTGTGCCTTCTGATTGTTCGATCAAATCCTTATATCTATCCATATCTGTTTTTATTTGCAGGCCAGGGAAAACTATCATGAAATAGATTCTGGTCTAAAGACTATTTTAATAATAATAATTGTAAATTTATTCACATGTTTTACTTAGCTGTAATGTGATTTCTTTTGGCTTGCTGTGGTGTGAGTTAGTGTTATCTGAGGATCAGATCACTGATTCATAGCACCTTGAATTAAAAATAATTAGTCCAGCCATTGTTTTTGTTTAGTACATTAATATAGCTATCCATCTATCATTAATAATGCATATATTTTAAAATAAAGTATTTAGATACTGGAATAAACATTTCAAATATATTGTGGCAGTTTTAAATTTAAATGCATAATTCTGTATGAATTTCAAGCTCAACTATCCCAGTGTTTTTGCAACTTCTTTTAATGCACCTGTTCCATGCAGATAACTTCCATTGTGAATAAAAAAGTAAGTGAGCTCTTTTCAATCTTTATCTCGACAGAGAAGTGCAACAATTTCGTCCATCTGTCCGAAACTCCCCTGAAGTTAGATTTGCAGTTCAAGCTTTTGCTGCATTAAACAGCAATAATTTTGTTAAATTTTTCAAACTTGTTCAAACAGCATCTTATCTGAATGCATGCTTACTTCATTGCTATTTCAATCAGGTAAGAAATAACAGCCATTTTAATATTTATAATATTATGCAGTACAAAGGTTTTTTTGTATTACATTACATTGCATAACAGACAACTTCTGTATTCTTATATCAGACTATTTAAATTTCCAATGCATCCTGATGGATAATTAATTTGCCTTTTGCAAAACAGATAAAATCCTGATAATGCTGATATAGTAATGATTTCCCACTTAGTTTTTTAAGCATGTGAATTTTATTACAGATCTAAGCAGGGTAGTAGACCAAGTATTTCCATTAGTGGGCAGTGATTGACTTTGGTTTTAAAAGTAGTCTTCTCCACTGATGCTAGTTTCAGAACAGCAAATATGATTCCATGATTGGTGTTTTTCAAGGATAACTGTAGACATATTTTTATGAGTTAGTACTGAGCTATTTTTTAAAATGGGTTCCCAACTGGGGGTGCTTGCACCCCCTGGGGGTGCGAGACAATATTCCAGGGGGTGCAAAATTATAGTGTATATGCATAATTCATTTTGAACTTTTGTAAGGGGTTTGAGAATATATCAGAAGCGTTCTAGGGGTGCAGGGTATAGAAAAGGTTGGGAACCACTGCTTTAAAACATCAAGGATTTCCAGTTTGGCGTCGTGGCGAGACGAATGCTGGAAGGCAAGGCTCTGCCTTCCATGCCCGATTTCTCCCTGCTGGGGGCCCTAAAAGGACCTAAAGTCGCCTTGATGAGGCGATGAAGAAGGAGGGGTGCCTTGTCGATCACGGAGAGACAGTGGTCTTTCCGTTTGATCTGAGGAAAGCCCTCCAAACTGGCAGGGGAAGACTGGCTACATTCCTGTGACCAGCCATTAGCCACTGACAACCGAAGAAGAAAAGCAGCAATTAGCAGATCGTAAACAGCATGTTTGGAACTGGGTGAGAATATTGATTGTTTCTTTACTATTTTACAACTGAATTTCCTGAGAAAGGCTCCCAAGAGGCTAAAAACCTCCGAATGTGAGAAGGAAGGGGAATAACCCCACCCTTCCAGAGGAATGGAAGCAACGTTTTAATTTCTTTTTTGGGGGACAGAAATACATAATACTGAAGTGGAAGTTACATAAAGCTACAGTTTGGATAAATTTGAGAACTGAGATAATTGTTAAGATTTTCTCTTTGGAAAAAAAAATTGAGGTAAAATATAAGAAATCAACCCTTTGTTTTAAGAGTGGAAAATGGATTTTAAATGACATCTTGTATAGCACTACAACTAATTTCCTGGCTGTTTGGTGACTCCTAGCTTAATAGAGAATCGCTGGCAATAAAGGAAAATATTTTGGAATACTTATCACCCTGACCTTGGATTATAAACATCTATTGAGCTTGGACCGCTAATTTCAAGAACTATTGGGAGAGAAAGAAAAATTTGACTTTTGACTACGTCTGGCTGGGAGACACTTTTGAACTGTTTTCAGGGTGGTTGAACATTTTGAACACTTTGAACATTGTAGATTACAACCTTGCCTGACCGACAATTCTTGGATACTTGAGACAAAGAATCACTACAAAATATTGCTTTTAAGACTGGTCCTATATTCTGGAACCTATTGAATTATAAAGGCTACAGATAAAGATCAGAAAACTAGATGAAACTTTGTTCTACTCTTACTAAGATTGGTGATACCAGACAAGACTTGTATTTGGAGAACATGAAGGTTTTGACAGATTATCTGGAAGGGGAAAACAAAATTGATGTTTTGTTTCTTATACCTAAAAGTGGTAAGAAAATATACCTTGCACCTCCATTTGAAGCCCCCACCCAGGCTAACCAAGGATCTCTGGGAATGATGCCTCAAGAAAAAATAAACACCTTTCAGAAGGAAATATACTCTATGATTAAACTAATTCACCAAACAATTATCGCACGCAAAGAGGACACAGAAAGAAACATAATGAGACTAAAAACAATTTAGGTAATATAAATGAGCAATTCTCCAAATTAAATCTACAGTTAGAAAATTCCCAGAAAATGACTACAAAGTATGGACAAATAAACCAGAAATCAGAAGGTGAAGCAGAGGAAATTGACCCAGAGACAGAAGAATAAAAGAAGGGAAATATAAACTACCATATACAAATAAAATACTGCAAGATTTAGTTATAACGATAAAAATGGAAAAGGCGCTTTATCCCTTAGGTCTGCAAAATATACCTGATGATGATTTTATAAAATGGAATTTAGAGCTGTCAGGGAAAATGTCACAACTTGGAAGACAAAAAATGAAAAGAGAAATTGAGGGAGAAGGAAAGTAGGAGTTGCTTAAGGAATATAAATGGGCAGAATTCCCCCTCCCCCCCCAAATACCCTATCCAAATTGTCTTCCTCATGCCAAGCAACCTTTACAAAAATAGAAAGAAAATTCCTGGGCGATTTAATTGCCTTGGCCTGGAAAACTACTTGGCAAAGAAAGAAAGTGAGAATTAGACTTAAAAAACAGAAGATTTGACCTATTAGAGGGGGCATTATATGATTAAATATCTGTTTGAATATAATTAAAAGAACAGATGACCATTAGACATAATTAGATTTTTATAATGAGAGATATGATTTAGAATTAAAATAGCATTTTCTTTTTTTGATATGGGGAATATAAATAAGATAAGATATTTTTAATGTTATGATTATGTAATAGAATATTATAAAGTAGTAAAGATGTTAATATCTTTTAAAATATTTTTCAGATTCGTAAAGATGCTCTAAAGTGTCTCAATTTTGCTTATACTGTGAACTATCAGAGATCCACTATCTTTCCACTGGAGAATATAGTTCGCATGTTGCTGTTTAGAAACCTTGAAGAAGCAACTGATTTTATAAGTTATTATGGCTTGGTGGTGTCTGATGGGTAAGTGGTTGTTTTGCATTACAGGATGGGCAGTTTAAATGAGGTTATCACATATCACAGTTCCAACAGTAATGGGCAGGCTCCATTATGGTTATGAATTGAGGACTCCTGTAATTTCCAAAGACCAATTTAAATTATTGTTTCAGTTTTATGCATTATATAGTATCTGACACAGAAACTTGTTCTAGTTTAATTTTTAATATTGGCCACATGTTCCTCTTGTATAATAAAATATTATTGTCGATCTTTTTGGTATCATCTGCCTGCATAGACCATGATTCAAGATCCCAGATGTTGTAACTGTTTGAGCTGGTCTTTGACAGATGATTGGACAATACAATAGTAAAAATGTTGTGATAAACCTGATATCTGACAGAATCTGCAGATTTATTTATTTGATTTCTATAACTTGCCATCAAATGCCAAGTCCACTGGGCCCTAGGTTTTTATTGGAAAGCACTTTCACAGATGTTTTTTTAAACTGACCTAAAATAACTCTACAAAGAGATGTTTTTTTTGTTCATATACATAATTCCTACAAATATAATATACTTAATATACTATATTTGGACAGTGCAACAGTTTGTGCCAGGGCTTTTGTGTTTTTAAATGGGATTCATATTAATTCATTGCCCCAAATGTCACATCAAAGGAGGTATGAATTAAGACACTATTATGATTTATTATAGATGTGTTTTGAAAAAAACCTTGTAAAATAGTTCATTATAATCTTGTTCTGTACCTAACTCTCTACACAGTTCTGTGGAGTTGAATCGGTCTGCCTTTTTGGAACCAGAAAGCTTGCCCAAGCCAAAGAAATCACTGTTTGTTGGGCAGAAGCTCATTCTGCCTGTTGGAGAAATTGTCAATGGGGGGCCTCTACAGCACATGACTCCTCATGTACCTTTGTGCAGTTTTAATCCTCAGAACAAATACACGGGAGAGAATTCAGTAGTGGATTCAGCCAGCAATCTTCAGAAAGTCAGTGTTGATATAATAGGTAAGAAACTACAGTCACAAAATGACAATAGGAAATATGATTGTTTCCTAGAACCTATTATAAAAAATATACTAGCTTGCCATAGTTTGCATTTAATATAGATATTTCATCACTCTGAAACTTTAATATTAAATACAACAAAGTCTTGTTAGAGTGATTATTTTTAATGTTTTTCAAATTCATCTGATCGAAATGATATATTCTTTATTTGTAGAAAGCAAGATGAATTAATGTAGGAGGTCCCAAGCTCTTGCATGGCATTTTTTCATCAAGGTTGTAATAATTTGTATGGAATTGCTGCTAATTCATCTTAAGAAAAGTCCAATTCTTTCTTAGTTCAATGCTTTGACTTGATCCTATCCTTTGAAAGAACGCAGGTTTAGAAGTATAACTAATTATATAATTACCACATTTTAATGTTAAAGTGTTTCACATACTAATAATCTCTCAGTTATAAATTATTATTATGTACTATAGAACCAGTAGACAGATAGAATGTTTAAGGTCATCTAAAAGTATTCTTAGCAGAAGAAAATTTCTGATAGAAATCTTTGATCAATGTTTCATATTATGAATTATTAACAGGATGAGAAAAAGAGAATTCTGGACAGTGATACACTTTTTCTCGTCTCTTGCTGCCTTAGATCTAATCCCTGTCTTTTTGAAATAATATTGTTTTTAGAGAAGTATCTGAATTACAGGTGATTTTAAAAGAAATGCATTCCTTTAAATAGCAATAAACAGAACTGTCGTACCTGTTCTGGAAGGGAGATTGTTTCCTACTGCATTAATTTTTTTTTTCTCCCAATGCTCCATAAATGACTTTTAATAAATTAGCATAAATTGTATCTATTAAATCTAATGAAAGTAACTGTAAAACAGCCAGTGAATATAAAATATATATTATCTCTGGATAAAATGAGAAAAAGTAAGTACACCCCATGTAAAGTTTTTTTCCCTTTTTTAACATGTAGACGTATCAATAATTTCATTCAAACAACATATAAAGATAATGTAATTAAACAAAACTATAAAAATTAACTTTTCAGTCATTTATACAACAACAAAAAATCAACAGATATCCCTATGTGGAAAAAGTAAGTATATCCCTGGTTTGAATATCTGTATTATCTCCTTTGGCAGAAACAATCTTGAGTAGCCATATCTTGTAACTTTATATCAGCCTTTTACACGGATTAGGAGGAACTTGTACATTGTCCTCCATGCAGAATTTTTGTGGTTTGATTTCATAGCCCATTTCATATCACCCCACAACATTTCACTGGGATTTAGATTTGGGCATTGACATGGCCATTCCAAAGTCCTCCATATTTTTTTTCAACCATTCCTTGGTGGATGTGCTGGATTGTTGGGGAGTCATTGTCATGTTGTGAGGTCTATTTTATTTTGAGCTTCATTCCGATAGATTAGTCTCACATTATCCTCAAGCACTCTCTAGTACAGGGGTCTTCAAACTTGACCCTTTTATGACTTGTGGACTTCAACTCCCAGAATTCCTCAGCCAGCATGCCTGGCTGAGGAATTCTAGGAGTTGAAGTCCACAAGTCATAAAAGGCCAAGTTTGAAGACCCCTGCTCTAGTACAACAAAGAATTCATATAGTGTGTTGCCCAGGCCCTGTTGCAGCACAGTAGACCCAAACTATAATATTTATGCCATTATGGCATCAGGTAAAATTCTGTCTTTGGTTTTCGCCATTCTGTAGGCAAATACTATGTCTTTGCCGCAACTGTCCACAGCATGTTGTTCTGGACTACTACTACTACCACTACTACTACTACTACTACTACTTCTTCTTCTTCTTCTTCTTCTTCTTCTTCTTCTTCTTCTTCTTCTTCTTCTTCTTCTTCTTCTTCTTCTTCTTCTTCTTCTTCTTCTTCTTCTTCTTCTTCTTCTTCTTCTTCTTCTTCTTCTTCTTCTTCTTCTTCTTCGTCTTCTTCTTCTTCTTCTTCTTCTTCTTCTTCTTCTTCTTCTTATTATTATTATTATTATTATTATTATTATTATTATTATTATTATTATGTATCTATCTATGTCAGTGGTTCTCAACCTGTGGGTCGGGACCCCATTTGGGGTCGAACGACCATTTCACGGGGGTCGCCAAACAACGCCGTCCGCCATTTTTTTCCCCCTTTTCCTTAGCTGTGCTCCTCCCTTTTATTCTATTGGCTTTTGAAAGCCAATAGAATAGACTCTCTTGAATAGAGTCTAATTCTATTGGCTTTCCAAAGCCAATAGTAATTGTCCAGGCTGTCTCTGCCCTGCTGAGCCCGCCAAAAGTCCCATTCTGCAAACGGTGCTGCACCAGTTGAGTAGTCCTCGACTTACGACCGGTTGAGTAGTCCTCGACTTATGACCGATTGGGGGTTGCGGCATTAAAAAGGTTGAGAACCACTGCCCTATACCATTTAGGGCAAATGGCTGTCCAGTCTCTTCTTAAAAACTTCCAGTGTTGGAGCATTCACAGCTTCTGGAGGCAGGTTGTTCCACTGGTTAATTGTTCTAACTGTCAGGAAGTTTCTCCTTAGTTCTAGGTTGCTTCTCTCCTTGATTAGTTTCCACCCGTTGCTTCTTGTCCTGCCTTCAGGCGCTTTGGAGAATAGCTTGACTCCCTCTTCTATGTGGCAACCCCTGCGATATTGGAACACTATTATCATGTCACCCCTCATCCTTCTCTTCATTAGACTAGACATACCCAAGAATAGCGACGGTGAAGATGAGTATTCTACCAAAATTACTCTTTTTATTCCAAACAATTCCTGTAAAATTGGGAAAGATGTTTTTTGATGATTTAAATACAATAATATTACAATTTATACGGCAAGTGAAAAAAGCACGAATTAAAGCCAAAAATGTTACAAGAAGTTAAAGATAGTGGAGGATTTGGACTCCCGGACTGGAGACTTTATTATCAAGCAGCTATCTTGCCATGGATTAAAGAATGGATAACACTGAGAAATAAAAGACTCCTTTACCTAGAGGGGCATAACTTACAACTAGGCATGCCTTTATGTGGTATGGAAAAAATAAAATACATAGATATTTTCAAAATCATGCTGTAAGGAATGCACTGCTTTTAGAATGGGAGAGAATAAAACAAAAAAAAAATACATTAAAATATTAGAATGGCTGTCAACAATGGAAGCCTTTGCTTACCCAAATTTAATCAATTACGATAAACTTGTTACATATAAAGAGATTTTGGACAAAGATGGAAAGCTTAAAGATAGGGAAGACTTAACAACAACAAGGCATTAATATATCTTGGTGGCCTTATTTACAAATTCAAACAAGTTATGAGAAAGACTTAAAGACAATGGGATTTTATAAAGAACAGACAGAACTTGATCAAATACTTTTGAAAACAGACAAAAATCTGATTAAGAAACTATAGATTCTTGTTAAATCTGAAGATGGAAGAAGAACAAGTAAAAGAGACAATGATAGTTTGGGCAAAAAACTTTGGATACTCTATAGAATTAGATGCTTGGCAAAAGTTATGGGATAGGAACATTCAACTGACTAAAGCAGTTCCATATAAAGAAAATTTATATAAAATGTTTTATAGATGGCATATGAACCAGTAAGACTAGCGAAAATATTTAAAAATGTCTCGAATAATTGCTGGAAATGTAAACAAAAACCAGGCACTTATTATCATATCTGGTGGGTGTGTCCTAGTGCAAAGAAATTTTGGTTTAAGATCCATTCATGGCTGGAAAAGATGACTAAAATACAGATAGAATTTAAACCAGAACTGTTTTTGTTAGGAATACTAGGACCTAACAATGGGAAAGAGAACAACTATTTAATATTACATATCTTGACAGCGGCGAGAATAGCATTTGCCCAATATTGGAAAAATGAAAATGCACCGTCTGATGAGATTATAATTAGAAAAAATTTGGAATGTGCTGAAATGGATAGATTAACTTTAGAGATTAAAGAGAAAGAAGATTCAGTTTATTTTAAAACATGGGAAAAAATTATCAATGGCTAGAAAAACGATAGCGAGAAATGAATGTGAAATTTATTAAGATGATTGATGTTTACTTTAATTGATATGTTTTATAACCATAATTATTTTTGTTATTTTTTTGCTATCTTTATAGATTAATTAATCCCACTGAATATTTGTACCCAGATGATAGTTTGTTTGCTAACACTTGGATTGTTATTGGGGGTAATCCCCCTGTTGTACCCACCCCTGTCTTTAACCCTATTCTTGAACCCCATCCTGAACCCCTTGTTACCTATATTGACCCCCTTCTGTGCTTATCCCTATACCAATCCCACCCCTGAGCCCTACCCTTAATCCCATTACCTACCTCGATCCCTGTTTCCCCTTTATAAAACTTAATAAAATATTGTTTTTAAAAAAAGGCTAGACATACTCAATTCCAACAAACATTCCTTATAGGTTTTAGCCTCCAGTCCCCTGATCATCTTTGTTTCTCTTCTCTGTACTCTTTCTGGAGTCTCAACAACTTTTTTACATTGTGGTGACCAAAACTGGATGCAGTATTCCAAGTGTGGCCTTACCAAGGCATTGTAAAGTGGTATTAACACTTTGCGTGATCTTGATTCTATCCTTCTGTTAATGCAGCCTAGCACTGTTTTGGCTTTTTTGGCAGCTGCAGTACACTGCTGGCTCATATTTAAGTGATTGTCCACTAGTACTCCAAGATCCCTCTCACACTTACTACTATTGAGCAAGGTACCACCTATAATATACCTGTGCATTTAGGTTTTTCTTGCCTAAATGTAGAATCTTACTTTTTTCACCATTGAATTTCATTTTGTTAGATAGCACCCAATGTTCAAGTCTTGTCAAGATCCTGTATCTTAAGCCTATCTTCTGGAGTGTTGGCTATTCCTGCCAGCTTAGTGTCATCTGCAAATTTGATGAGTTCCCCATCTATCCCCTCATCCAAATTATTGATGAAGATGTTGAAGAGCACTGGACCCAGAACAGAGCCCTGGAGCACCCCACTACACACTTCCCTCCATGTAGATGCAGTTCCATTGAGGACCACATGCTGAGTACAGCCAGTCAGCTAGCTACGAATCCATCTCGTGGAGATCTTGTCTAACCCACATTTTTCTGTCTTATCAAGTAGTAGGTTGTGGTCTACTTTATCAGATGCCTTGCTGAAGTCCAAGTAAATTTTATCCACAGCATTCCTCTGGTCCACTAATTTTGTCACCTGGTCAAAGAATGCAATAAGATTTTTCTGGCATGATCTGTTTTTGACAAAGCTATGTTGGCTTTTGGTAATAACTTTGTTTGCTTGTAGGTGTTTGCTGATTCGTTGCTTGATTATCTTTTCCAAGATCTTCCCAGGTATTGAGGTCAGGCTAATAGGTCTGTAATTTCCTGGATCCATTTTTCCCCCTTTTTTGAAAATGGGGACTACATCAGTTCTTTTCCAGTCCTCTGGTAGTTCTCCAGTGCTCCAGGATCTTTGAAAGATATAGTTCAGTGATTCTGAGTTCACATCTTTTATTTAGTTCCTTCAGAACCTTGGGGTGTAGTCCATCTGGTCCTGGTGATTTGAGCTCGTCTAGGGTGGATAGATGCTCACTTACCATTTTCATATTTATCTTAACTTGTGTTTCTAATCTGTTTTTTACAGTATTGTTTTTGATAGGTTGGACTGTTTTTTTTCCTTTTGTGTAAATACAGATGCAAAAAAAGAGTTAAGTAGTTCTGCTTTCTCCCTGTTGCTTGTCACCTTCATGCCACTTTTTCTCAATAGTGGACCAATCATTTCCTTAACCTTTTTCTTGTTTTTTACATGTTGAAAGCTTTTTTTTTGTTATTTTTGACTTTTGTTGCAAGCCTTAGTTCATTTTGAGCCTTAGCTCCATTGAATCCTTCCTAAGCTCTCTCTAAGGTTGTTGAAATTAGCTCTCTTAAAGTCCAAGACTCTAGTTTGACTGTGTTCTATTGCTTGTGTGCTTGCATAATATTGAATTCCAATATTGGATGGTCACTCTCCCCCCCAAGTTTCCTGTAGTTTCAACATCTTCTGTCATTTAATCTCTGTTAGTGAGAATTAAGTCCATCCTGGCTTTTGCCTAGGTATTCATGAACCTGCGGGGGTGGCCTGGGCTAGACAAGTTGGCAGCTTTCTTCTCTTGTAGATGATTGGACAATGGGATAGTTGATATCCAATTGTTCGGCAATCTTTTTAAATCCCTTTCCAGAGACATAATCATCTGTAAACTTTTTTGTGCCGACCTCAGAGAGCTAAGGATGGTGATATCACTCACATCAAAAACAGTGATGCATCTGTTCTGGTGCACTGGATTCTAATAGTAGGTATTGGAGGTTGTAATAAATCTAGGAGGGATACTTACTTTTTCCACAGGCAAATTTGCATTTATGTTTATTGCAATTATACAATGGCTTTCAATGGACTACTTGAGATTAACAACTGCTTCACTCAATGACTGAGATTCTGTGGTTGTAAGTCAAGGACTACCTATAAAAGGGACATATTTGTTATTTTATATCCCCTTTATCAATATTGCTGAAATGAAGAGCAAATATTTGTATTTTGAAATAATTTGAAATTGTCAAAAAATTCAATGGGGTGTAGTTATTTTATCATATGACTGTTCTTTGATTTAAATTGTTAAACATAAATGCTTAATGTGAAAATAATTCATACCAAATCTGAGTATTAATTCATCTGGCTGGGTATTCTCTGTTATAGACAGTGTCTCTTTAGAGGTAGAAATATTTCAGTTTTCTGAGGTAATTCCCCTGAAACCTCTGAAAATAAAGAGATTGAGTTTGAACCTTTGCATTTAATCATACCTTTACTCTTTGTTTTTAGAAACCATCCTGGAAAAGTCTGTCCTGCCTTAAAAAAATGTTTTTAAAAGTTATGAAAAGATTGTTTCTCTTGCTGAATCGCTTTTACCTCCTATTTTGCCCACAGAACCAAGAATCGGAGAGGAAAATGTAAAAATAGAAGCACTTCAATCTCAATCTTCATTTGTACTTCCACCATTCCCCTCTGCACTGGTGTCTTCCTCTGCAGAGTCTATCTTTCAGCCCATTTCACAACCGTTGTCTCCCACACCAAAGCATCAGCCTGAATATAGTGATATGGTGAGAAGCATCTGACATTTCTTAAATTATCATGCCTTTTTTTCAAAAAATAATTTTATATCTCTGTTTTTGTTTTAACATAAGCATTTTTGATACGAGAGCCACAGTTAGAAATGCTTAAAGGTGGACTGCGGTGAAAAAATAATACTAGTGATTGAAAAAATGATCTTTTTGCCCTCAAACCTGAGCATACAATCCGTCAGAATGTACAGCTTCTCCTGGCACTTGTACTTTCTTCCTCCTATGGAACTTTGCCAGTAACCCTTCCTGTTCCCAGTCTTCCCAGTGAATAGGTGTGAGAAAAGCTTCCGCATTCAGCTGAAAGGTTTTATATTACTTGATTCTGATCCTTGCCTTAGAGGCAGTGGTGGGATTCAGCCGGTTCGCACTGGTTCAGTAGAACCGGTAGCTAATTTTTTATTGACTTTGGTGAACCGGTTGATGCTCTAGCCCTTTTTCTCAAGGCCCAGAATGGACCGCCGGAAGTGAGTGGACCTCTGGAAGTGGCGTCCACGCAGAGAACCAATTGTTCAGGTATTTGAATCCCACCACTGCTTAGAAATCTGGGTTTTGATAGGGATAACAAATGGAAGGATAATTTTAGCTGTTTGTTTGCTTGCATCCTATCTTCATTTTTTTTTAACTAAGGCAACAAACATATCTAATACATCTTCCTCCTGTTTTCACCAGAACAAGCCTGTGAAGTGGGTTGGGCTGAGAGAGAATGACTGGCCCAAAGTTACTCAGTTGGCTTTCATGAGCTAAGGTGGAATTTGAATTTGCAGTTTTTCAGTTTCTAGCTTGGTTCCTAACCACTAAATCAAGCTGATCCTGAAATCAGGAGAAATTTTCCCTGTAGAACAGCGGTTCTCAACCTGTGGATTGCGACCCCTTTGGGGGTCGAATGACCCTTTCACAGGGATCGCCTAAGACCATCGGAAAGCATATATTTCCGATGGTCTTAGGAACCAAGACACTGCTCCACATCTGTCTCCGCATGGCCGCCTCCGCCATTTGCAGAGAGAGGCACTTTCACTTCCCTTCTCTCCCCCCCCCCCGCTCTCTCTCTCTCTCTCTCTCTCTCTCTCTCTCTCTCTCTCTCTCTCTCTCGGACTTACCTCCTGCAGGGCTCCTGATTGGCCCTGCGCCCAGGTGTCCCAGCCCCTGGGAGAAGCGCGGCCAGAGCCTCGTGGCCTTGGAGCCGCCCGGGGAAGCCCTGGGATCTCTGCTAGAGGCTCCGCTGAGTGGGCCAGCCCTCCCGCAAGCCGCGGCCCAAGGGAGACCAGTCCCTGCAATCCACAGCCAGCCCGACCATTGCCCCGCTGGCTGGGAAGGCACGCTGGAATCCAGGCTGCTGGGGAGGAAGAAGGAGATGCAGCAATGGTAGGAGAGAAGAGTCTCCTCCTGGGGCCCGGCACTGGCGGCAGCTTCCTTGCCCTCTTCTTCCTCCTCCCCTTCTTCCTCCTGCCCCCCAGGCGGCTTGGGCGGGCGCTGGGACAAGAGGGGTACCTGGGGGGAGCAGCCGGGCTGGCGGAGGGGCTGGCAGGGGCCGTGCGGCGCCAGCCCCCACCGTGGCTCCATCAGTGGGTGGAGGGCGAGGCTGGGTAGTGAAACAGAGAGAAACAGAGGAAAGAGAGAGAGAAACAGAAGAAAGAAACAGGAAAAGAGAGAGGAAAGAGAGAAGGAGAAAGGAAGGAAAGCGGAAAGAGAGAAGAGGGAGGAAAGAGAAAGAGAGAGGAAAGAGAGAAAGAAAGAGAGAGAGGAAAGAGGGAGAGGAATGGCGCTTCTCCAACCAGGCTGGGCGGAGCTGGAGGAGCGGCCTTCCTGCCCCCCTCCCCGGCCAGCTGGATGGGGGGTTGGGAGTCACCACAACATGAGGAACTGTATTAAAAGGTCGTGGCATTAGGAAGGTTGAGAACCACTGCTGTAGAATACTTGGAAGACAAAACAGTCTTCCAGCCCTTGAAAAATGTGTTTCCATAAGCAGAACCCTGTCTTCTGTTTTAACCCTCTTTTCCATTTCTTTTCACTTACCCTTTCTTTAATTCAGAAAGTTTCACTACAGTTTTTCCTATAGAAACTGGCAAACTTTCTAGGCCTTTACACCACCCTGATATGAATGTTGATATTTAGAGACTGAGTAGTGATCTCCTATTGTGTTTTAATATTGCTTTAAATTCTCTATTTCATCAAATGTTTGAGTTTTAATATTGTGCTACCATATACTGTACCGTTTTATTTGTTTTGGTTTTACAAATATTGCAAAGCATGTGCTAAAAAACAGTGTTGAAGGCTAATTCTTACTCCTTCTTAATTTCAGGACATTTTAGAGGTAGCTAAAGGCCTTATGTATGAGGTACTAGAAGAAGAATGCAAAGAAATCAGCAGTGTAGGAGCCAACTATGTACAAACAGCAATATGGTATGTATAAATATTATTGTTTTTAATGATATTTTGGAAGCAGGTGTTGGTGTTTGCTCATTTGTCATTGTAGGCATATCCTGAATAATAATAATAATAATAATAATAATAATAATAATAATAATAATAATAATAATAATAATAAGTGGAATAGTTTACCCCCAGAAATTGTGGGCACTCTATCACTGGAGATTTTTAAAAAGAGGCTAGACAGTCACTTGTCTGAGATGGTATAGGTCAGGTTGGCAAGCTGAAACACTGAAAGAGTCACTTGGATCTGTTTCCCTCACAAAAGAAAAAACTGGGAGCTGCATAATGTGTGTGTGCCTGTGCGCGCGCACACGCATACACATGTGCACAGAACAGGAGGCTTGATTTAAAGAGTGGAGCCTAAGGCGAGACTTGCACCGGCTTTGCCCCCCCCCCATCCAGCTCCGTCCTGGCTTCTCCTCTCCTCGCAAAAGACTGCTCTCCCCCCAGCCCACATTCTCCCTCTCTGGAACTTTCTTCTTTCTGCCTTTTGGCGCGAAGGTTCCCAGGGAGCAGAGGAGGAGGCCGACGGGGAGAAGGAGCTGCCGGCTCGCCTATCTCAGCCTGCTGCGGGAGGCTGGAGTTGAGGCTTCTGGCTCGCTCTGGAAGAGGTGCGCGGAAAAGAGAGGATGAGAAGTGGAAAGTGGAAAAAAGGATGTCTTCTTTCTTTTGCTGGGAGGGCGAGGAAGTAGCAGTTGTGCTCCGTAGGAGGTGGGAGCAGGCGGCCTCTCCTTCAAGCTCATCTCTAGCAGCTCACAATAAAACCATGATACCATAAAACCCATAAAATTATAGCTTCCTTTAGCATTCTTTCTTGAACCTTCTGTCAGACAAGTATGGGAAGAGTTGTGCTGAAGCTGCAAAAGCCTAACAGCGGCTCCCTGTCCTCAGCCACTATGTGCAGTCTGAAAAAAAAAAGTGGGACTAAAAAAGTTCAATCAATCAATTCAAACTTCTCATGGTTTGAATTGATTGGTTGAACTTCTTTGGCTTGTGGGACTGCCCACAAACCTCTTTCCTTCTTCATACTGCACATGGTGGCCGGGAGGATTGCTGGAAAGGTGTCCCTGGTAAGGAGCTGCGGGTGGCCGGTCTCGGAGTGCCTCTTTCCTGCCCGGCAGGTCTCCCCTCGCCCTGCTCTGCCGCCACCTATTAGTTGGGGGGGGGTCACCAGGGGTCTTCCAGAGCTTCCCCTCTCCGCCTGCGCCGCTCGGGCGGGCACCGGGGCAAGAGGGGCACCCAGAGGAGCCAGCCAGGCCGGCGGAGGGGCTGGCAGGGGCCGGTCAAGCAGAGCAGCCGCAGCATTGTGGCCAGTGCCAGCGGCCCGCGCTGCACCAGCCCCTGCCGTGGCTACATCAGATGGGCAGAAGGCGAGGCCGGGCAGCGCGGAGTCCCGGCTGCGGCAGCGGCTTCCTTACCCTCCTCCACCCCTTCTTCCTCCTGCTGCCAATGAGCGGCTTGGGTGGGTGCTGGGGCAAGAGGGGCCCCCGGAGGGGGCCACCGGGCCGGCGGAGGGGCTGGCAGGGGCCGGTCAAGCAGAGCAGCCGCAGCATTGTGGCCAGTGGCCCACGCAGCAACAGCTTCCCCCAAGGCTCACCACAGCTACATCGGATGGGCGGAGGGCAAGGCTGGGCAGCGCGGAGTCCCAGCTGGGGCAGCTTCCTCGCCCTCCTTCTCCCCTTCTTCCTTCTGCTGCCCCTTGGGCAGCTCGGTCAGGCGCCGGGGCAAGAGGGGCACTTGGGGGAGCCAGCCCGGCCGGCGGAGGGGCTGGCAGGGGCCGGTCAAGCAGAGCAGCTGCAGCATTGCAGCCAGGGCCAGCAGCCCGCGCTGCACCAGCCCCCGCCATGGCTACATTAAATGTGCAGGTGGTTCTTTCAATTAAGGCTTCACAGTGAATTTTATTTCTTCTATAGGGTCTCTGATGCTACTATAAATGAACTAATTACAGAAGTGATGTCTGGAATTTTGAGGCAAATTGCATCTGTTGTAATAAATGAAGAAAGGGAAAGATTTGAAGAAGAAAAGCGTCAGGCCGAAAAAGAGAAGTAACTTTTATATAACATTTGTTCTGACACAGTTTAAAATTTCAGTGTGTACAAATTGCAGTAGTACAATATACTGCAGTATTGTGTTCTCTGAACTAATCAGATGTGATGATAGAGAGAGAGATTCATTCAATTATACATGCAATGATACATAATAGACTTTTGGAGGAGCACCTCTATAGTCAGGCTTGCCTGAATCTGTTATAGTAATTATTCACCATGCACCTTGCTAGTTATTCATTTGGCCAATGTATACATATGTAGGTCAGTTAACATGTAGAACCCCTTCATACTCTGGGAAATCTACTGTTAATGGTAACAGTAGATTGCAGGCTCTTATGTTCTCTCGTATACATTGCTCCAGTGGTGTGAGAATTATTTAAACACCACTAATATATCTGTAGGGCAATAGATTGCATGCAGATGGTTCTTGGTCCAACTCAGGACAGACAGACACACAGACAGATGTATGTAATAAATAATACAACATAACCAGAAGATGTAAGTTAAATAGAACATACTTAGTATTACTTGTATCTTAGTAATGTTTCTGTAAGTTATACTTAATACTAATATTTTTAAGGCAGCTATTTATTTATTTATTTACTTTGTTATGTAAGTTAAGTACCTGAAGTTTTCCTAACACATAATGATTGGATTTCATTCCATCACCATCTTAGGCAAAAAAGGGAAAAAGAAGAGAGGACACAAATGTTAAGCAAGTCGCTGGGCGCAGAGCTGATGGCAGAAGTAATAAAGCAAGAAATACAAGAAATTTCAGTTAAGGAGCTAAAGTACGTAAGTGGCAGGCCTGTCTTCTTTGCCGATTGTAACATCTTTATCATTATTAGTTTTATTATAATTGTTCCACAAATAATTAAAGATGCATATTTTCTTGCAATGGATTCTTTGCTATGAAAGATCAAATAAAAACACTTTCTTTTTAGAATGAATAACATATTTTTTGCTGTCACTGTATACTGCCACTTTATGATCTGTCATTCTTCTTATCGTGGATGTTTCTAACACTCTGGCTCCAGAAATGAAATGTATATCTGTTTCCAAGCAGCTAGTTGGACTTTTATTTCTTTTCTCAGAACTGTGTATTGTTTTCTAGATATCTTAGGCTACTTTTCTGTAAGTAAGCATCTAAATAAAGAAATATCTTTCTTAAATTTAGGGCTTTCCCTGCCTTTAATAACATAATGATTTAGACTTTTAAATAACCATTTATAAGAAACTGAGAATCTGGCTCAAATTGCCTCAGACTTGATTTCAACAGTTTCGCCTTGCAAGTTGTTCAGAAGTGGGGAGGCATTGGAAACTGGAGAAGAAAGAGTTCTTTTCTGAGTTGTTTTCTTCTCACACAGCCACTGTTTGGAGCAGAACAGAATAGAATACAATTCTTTATTGGCCATGTATGATTGGACACACAAGGAATTTGTCTCCGGTGCATAAACTCTCATTCTACATGCAAGCAACAAGTGATCAGTCATGATCATAGTCATTATAAAAATACATTCATGATAAATGATAAGATACAACACTTAGTGATAGTCATAGAATTCTAAATAAGCAAACAACATAAGTCATACTACGATACTAAATAAAACATAAATCGTAAGATACAAGCAACAAAATTATAGTCATAAGATAAGGAGATAGGTAATAGGAAGATGAGAAGAATAATAGTAATGCAGCCTTACTAGGTAGTTCGACTGTGTTGTGAGAATTAGTTGTTTAGCAGAGTGATGGCATGGGGGAAAAAGTATCCTTATGTCTAGTTGTTCTGGTGTGCAAAATGCCCTATAGCATTGTCTTGAGGGAAAAATTAAAACAGTCCAGGATGTGAGGAATCTGTAGATACTTTCACAGCCCTCTTTCTGGCTTGTGCAATATACAGGTCCTCAATAGAAGGCAGACTGGTAGCAATTGTTTTTTCTGCGGTTCTATTTGTTGAAGTCTGTGTCTTGTTTGATTCCAGTGCCAAACCAGACAGTTATAGAGGTGCAAATGACAGACTCAGTAATTCCTCTGTAGAACTACCAGCAGCTCCTTGGGCAGTCTGAGCTTTCTGAGTTGGCGCAGGAAAAACATTCTTTATTGTGCTTTTTTGATCACATTTTTGATGTTAGGTGTCCATTTTAAGTCTTAAGATATTATAGAACTTAGAAACTTGGTCTCTACTGTTGATACTGTGTTGTCTAATATTGTAAAGAGGTGGTAGAATAAGAGGGTTTCTCCTTAAAATCTATCATTTCATAATTATGGATGTCAGAGCAACTGGTCTGTAGTTGTTCAGCACCTCGATGGGGTTTCTTTGACACTGGGATGATAGTAGAGAGTTTGAAGCAAGAAGAAACATAACACATCTCTAGTGATTTATTAAAGATGTGGGTAAGAATGGGGGCCAGTTGGTCAGTACAAGCAAGAAGGAGTTATCTTGTCTGGGCCTGGTACTTTTCCAGACTTTTGTCTGTGAAATAGACTTTGCACATTTTTTTGTGAGCACCATAGATGGGGGGTCAGTTGTAGGAGGCTTGGCTATTGCTGGTGTATCTGAGATGGAGATGGTGGTGATAGGTGATAGTGGTTCCTCTCAAACCTACAGTAAAACACATTCAGGCCATCTGCCAGTTGTCGATTTCCTTCACCATGGAAAGGTGATATTTTTAAGAGTTTTCCACACATTTGCTGGTTCATTTTTTGAGAGCTGATTCCTTAGCTTTTCAGAGTAGCTTCTTTTTGCTGCTCTGATCTCCCTTGTTAATACATTTCTGGCTTGATTGTTCAGCATTCTATCTCCTTTCTTTAGGCTTCCCTTTTGGTATGATGTAGTTGCTTGAGCTTAGCTGTGAACCAAGGCTTGTTGTTACTGTATATTCATAGGTTTCTTGTCGGCACACATAGGTCTTCACAAAAACTAATATATGATGTTACAGTATCTATGAGTTCATCCGAGTCTGCAGCGGTATCTTCAAAAATGTTCTAATCCGTGCAATCAAGCCAAGCCTGTGGCTTTAACTTTGCCTCCTCAGTCCAAGACTTCACTGATTTAATTGTTGGTTTTATGGTTTTAAACCTTTGTCTATAAATAGGTACAACTGGAATATTTTTGGTGGTGCAGGAGTAATAAATAATTTCTTTTTATTTTACAAATGATAATTTAGTTCAACCTAGATGTCCATTTATTAATTTATTTTGTTTTGCAGAACTAGAGACGTAATATTTTATATGCAGTGATCAATAATTTTCATTTAAACTATACTGTTGTTCTTATCAACAGTTATTTAATTTATATGTGATAACATTTGCTTTTAAATAGTTCTTGAATTGTTCTTTGAAATGAATCTTCTAACCTTCTGTTGTATGACCGAAAGCCAGAAGTGTTATAATTGTTCTTGAGATAGCTGTTAAATTAAATGAATTACTGTATCTTAGATGTGCTGTGGAGATAGATCAAAAGGCACGCATTGTCCGATGTTCACAGGAAATCTGTGCTGAAATGATGGATGCATTTTTGGAGGATGAAATTTTCCAAAATGCTAAAGAGACCCTGCAAGAACTTCAGTGCTTCTGCAAATACTTACAAAGGTATGTCAACTGTATTAAAGTTGGCTCTTAAGAAGTTTAATTATATGCTTATTTGTATTATATTTCTTCCACTAATTAGCTCAGGATAGAATGTGTAAAATCTTTTCATTATTCTTGTGATTTTATTCTACAGGACAAAATTGTCTGCAGTAGTGGCGAATATCTGTAGCTCAGGTATAGGATGAGGGTGAAGTTTCATTCTCCGAGCTTGTGGGTTGGTTTCCGAACATTTCATTACCAGGCTAGGTAACAACTTCAGGGAAGTTAGGGGATATCAGTGTCAGTGTTCTACTGTTTAAGTCTTAAATCCTGGAAGTACTTTTCTTTCAAATTCTCCTGTGATCTCTGCCTGTCATTTATAGTTTACATATCCTAATGTGTTTGCCTGGTCTACTCTGAATTTATAGTGGTACTATATTATAGTGGTACTATACATTAAGTTAACTATTCTTACTTTTGCCTAACAAGTCCATCCAAGATAAACTTCTAAATGGGATTTGGGACTAAATCCAAAGATGAAGCTTTATATAAGCCAGAGTGAGAAATTGAATATTGCTCGACCATATTTACCAATAGCCCCAATTAACTTAATCTAGGGTGTCAGATGCTAGAAGTTGCAATGTCTGGCAGGCCATAGGCCTTAACTCCTGAAGTAAGTAAGTCTGCCAGAGGTATCACGATAGCCTATAAGTGCAGATCAGCTGGACAGTAACAAATGACTGCACCAAAGTGTAACAAAGAAGATGAAAGAAGAAAAACAGGATCACCAGCATCTTCTCACAATGTCACATCCTCACAATAGAACACGTCTATTTTCTGATAATCTTGTCAGAAGGAGAGTTGATTAAAAAAAAGTCTTCACTTCATGGTTGAGAAAGGAGCATTTGGACTTCCTTTTTTTGAATTGTTTTAATTCTGTAGTTGTAATAACACCAAGCAATCATAGTTTATTACAGCATTATATATGCATTGTAGCTAATCATTATAAGATCAATGTAATATTAAGAATTATTACTTGAGTATTCTTTATTTTTCCCCTCTCCCTTTTATTTTTGTCTTGGTTTTTTTTAGAATGTATTTTGGTCAATAAGGACACCAATGTTATGTATCAGAAATAGCTTGTGAAACCATAAGCTTAACATTATAGTTTAAAGACAAAACCTTTCTGAACTAGCTTTAGGATTATTTACTTCAATAAAGTTCCTCAACAGAAGACTTCTTTTGTAACTAGTATTTGCCATCAGTCCCTTCTTTGAAGACCTCAGGCATACACCAAGAATGCTGTGAAGAGATGTGGCATTTGTGCAATTGTTGTCAAATAGTAATCAGTGCCAAGAGAAGACCGCTCTTTCTGTCTGTCTAAATACCACAGCAACATCCTATCCCACTCCAAAGCTCTCCTAAATGCAGTGTGGTTTAAGAGAAAAAAGCTGGGGACTTCATTCATTCATTCATTCATTCATTCATTCATTCATTCATTCATTCTCATCCATCTCATGCAGGTGACTCTTCTAAGGTGACTAAAATAGGAAGGCAATAAGAAAGAACACATATCACTTCTCTTTTTTTTAAAGTATAGGGCAAGTGAGCAATTGAATGAAGAGTACATATAATTGCTATGTTCTACAGAGAGGGCTGTACAGCTTTTTTTTCCCTCTCTTCTGACAGTGCAGAAAACATTTGCTTTTTCACTAGAATTGGTTATAACCTGGTATCAGGCAGATAGAATACAGTCTATCTGAAAGGATGGTTCTAGCAAGTTGTGTATTTTGGCAGACAATGAATCTTGCTTGTACATTCTCTTGAAGATGGAAGGAAGCTGTTTTTGCCCGAAAGAAATTGAAACGACAGATGAGAGCATTCCCAGCAGCACCCTGTTATGTAGATCCAAAAGATAAATTGAAAGCCCTTTCACCCTCTGCAGAGTGCCCAATTGCCAGGGAGCATCTAATTAAAAGAATTGTGAACTTGGGACATGCCGGGAATCTTGGTACCGCCTGCCTGCAGTAAGTACTGTGTTTCTCCATATACATGTGCTATGATGGTATCAGGATGATGATGTGTGCAGTACGATGTCATCATGCAAATGATGCATTATCATCCTCACTCCTTCTCACAATGCTTTGTATGTTATCCTGAGGAATTAGCACATTTTTTCTCTCCGATCACTTCCCTTGTCTTCCTGTTATAGTGGAGGATATATGCTGCAGAGAATTAGGACCAGTCATTTCTGATGCATCTATATCAAGCATCTTGCTTGCTGCTTGTGTAAACACTTTGAGATCCAAGTGGGGAGTTCTCAGACTGATAAGTTGTAAGGTGGCTGATTGAATAGGGAAGTGCTGTAACTATTTCCTGATACATTTCTTTGAGGATCCCATTACAGCAATGCTGCTGGCTAACAATGGGAGATGCTGAAAACTGTAATTCTTCATTTCCAGAGAGCCACAAATTCTTAATCCCTGTGTTTGGTTGATTAGTTTAAATCTTACTTACCTCAAAATATATATTCTTAAATAAGGTCCAGCTTTTTTTCTATTTATTTAAGTTTAAATCTAAAATCAATTAATCTAACTTGATACAGCTACACCTTGACTTATCATTTACAGTTGCTTGCCAAGTGGCCTGCAATTATATGATTGCCATTTGCAATTTTCTGTTAGCTTTCCCAGAAAGTCTATGGGCAAACTGGCAGGGAAGGTTGCAAACTGCTGCCACTTAGCAAGAGGTTTCCTTTTGTTTCTGCATAGAACTGTCTCCCAAGGGAAGCTGAACTCCTAAAGATTTCAACTCCATTCCTGCAGCCCATTGAAGGTGTTCCTTTTCATGCATGGAGAGGAGCTGAACTTATTTAGCAGGCAGCTCTTTCAGTAAGCCCCAGAGTCAAGAGGGAGCCAAAAACCAAGCAGAGAATGGAGAATCAGCACAGTAAGGCAAGGAGCCCAGAGTGTCTCAGGCCAGTGGGAGTGGTCCTGGGAGGTCTGACAGAAGCTGCACATACCTGTCTGCTCAGGAGCTGAAAATCCTGTTTGGATTACGGCAGGAAGGATAGAGTACAGGTAGTCCTTGAGTTATGAGTGTAATGGAGCCTGCCCATTCCACTCATAACTCGAAAACTTGTAGAGTGAATCTCGTTTGAGGTACGAGATCACTCCCTTGCTCATTAAAACGCACGAGGCTCTTTAAGCGAACATGAGGTATCTCAAGGTGGGGAAGGCCATGGAGGGCCTAGTGCTGGAACAGGCCCCCGAGGCCTCCCTGACCCACTAAGATACCACATGCTTCCCCCTCCCTTTCTGCCGCAGTGGACTCACCTGGAAAAGATCTGTCTCCTCTCTGCCGTGGTTCCTGCTGTGGCCTGGATTAGAGACCAGGGAATGCTTCCGCGCACCCTCTGCGGCCCAATCAGGCCTGGAAAGTGCCCCGGATTGGGCCGGGGGGGCGCGGAAGTGTCCCCCAGCCTTAAATCTGGGCGGCAGCAGCCTGGAAAAGGCCTCTAGAGCCCAGATCGGGCTGTGGGAGGGTTGCAGAAGCATTCCCCGACCTCAAATCTGGGTGGCAGCAGGGGGGAAGGGGCGGAAGCTTCCAAGATCCTGATCGAAGCCTCGGAGGGGTTTTCCTAGCCATTTGCACCAGGAGCGGAGGTTGGGGAGAACTTATGTATGCCTCCGGAGTTTGGATCCAGCCCTTGCAGGACTGCTGCAAGCTGCCGCCGCCCTGAACAGAGCTTTCAAGGGTCTGATCCAAGCCTCGGAGGCCTTTTCCTAGCCGTTTGCGCCAGGAACAGAGGTTGGGGGGGACTTCTGCATGCCTCCAAGCTGCTGCCCCCCAGAACAGCTTCGGAGGCAACAGGGTCACTTTCTCCCCCAGCACGGCAAGCTCCAGCAGCTGTATTATTCTATCAAAGAGAATATTACAAGAGGACTTTATTTAAACTGATGGATGTTGTTTGCATAGCAAATAATGGTTAGTTCTAATTTATATCTACGTCTGTAATGTTTTGACAATTAGCAGATTTTTTTGTAAGATGTATCAGATTTTGTTCATAGCATAAACAACAGCATTGTAACAATTTTTAGTTGTATCAACAAGAACTAGGAAGCTATTCTTGACTTTGGTTGAACGTTAGAGGTAGGTCCTTATAAATTGACAAATCAAAGGGCGCCAGGTGGTGGCTAAGTATGAATGAGAAAAGTTTGCTGTTTGATACAGGCAAGTGATTCATAAAGTGGTATTTATTTTCAGGTTTCAATGGATACGGAACAAGACCATCCACCAAATGAAAGTACAGCATTTTTATCAACAATTATTACAGTATGTTGAATTTTAATTAAATTATGTTACAATAAAGGTTGCAAGCTTTGAGACTAAAGTCATGAGAGATTTAAGAATTAAATATATTTTGAACCAAAAAAAAATCCATACTGGTTATATGCAAAATACGTTTTGTGATGCTTGAACAGAGAAGAGATGCTTGAGTTACATATGTCACCGGAAGTGGATTACTGGACAAAATGCAGGAGAAAAATCAAAAACTGACTGCCCTGCCCAGAGAGCTCCTCAGATTTGTCTCTGTACAAAGAGTTTTAAAATGCATTTAGATAACTGCTAATTATATATATGATACAATCATTTATCAGTGGAACAACCTACCTCCAGAAATTGTGAATGCTCCAACACTGGAAATTTTAAAGAAGAGACTGGACAGCCATTTGTCTGAAATGGTTTAGGGTTTCCTGCCTGAGCAGGGGGTTGGATTAGATGACCTCCATGGTCCCTTCGAACTCTATTATTATAATATTATATTATTGTATGTTTCATCTAGTGCAGTGAGGGCGAACCTTTTAGACACCGAGTGCCCAAACTGCAATCCAAAATCCACTTATGTATCGTCGGGTGCCGGGTGGGCATGACCCAATGGGTGGGTGTGGCCCAATGGGTGGGCGTGGCTGTGGTGGTAACGACAGACTGGGTGGGACTAAAAAGTTCAATCAATCAATTCCAACTTTGCGAGATCTTTTTTTTCCCCGCGAGAAGTTGAAATTGATTGAACCTTTTTTTTTTTTTTTTTTGCACACGGTGGCGGATGCCTAAAGCGAAAAGGTTTTATAAAACCCAGCTGAAAGTCTAGGACTGGGGCGATGGCCAGCGTGCCCACAGAGAGGGCTCTGTGTGCCACCGGTTCGCCACCACAGATATAGTGCATGACCTGCAAAAGTGCTTTTTAACAAGATTTTATAAGAATGGATTTTTACATGCTCTAAGGCAGGGGTGTCAAACTGCCAGCCTGTGGGCCGGACGCGTCATCTGGAAGCCGCGCCCACCCCATTGCCAGCAATGGCAAAACTGGCCCGATACATTGTGCAATGTCACATGATGTTGTGGGTTTGACATGTCTGCCCTAAGACTTTGGAGTATATTTTTAGAAAAAAGTTATAAACTAGTATGTTTTAACTGTTATGTTTATTAAACCATTTTGATGATTGTTGTAGCAGTTAAAACAAGGAAACAAGTTTTCAAGGAATTTATTTTGTACTTATTGTTCTTTAATAACAAAGAACAATAAATCCCTTTAAAACTTGTTTCCAGAACAAGCCTATCTATTAATTTAATAGCTGCTACAACAATCATCTTAATTTTAAATGGCCTTGGTTTAAAGTAATCTACTTTTTCCTGAAACACTCTTTAGGAAATATAATCTACAATGAACATGGTTACATATTTTAATATTATGTTGTATGTCTTAGAGATGCAGCATGGAGCCCTTTAGATCTACCATCATTAATTGCTGAAAACATTCCTATGCAACAAGAAAAGATCTTTTGGAAAGCGCTGCTGGTGTTGCCAAGTTATGATGATTATCCTGCAGAAGATCCCAGCAGGTACTGCTTTAATTGAGACAGTGCAAGAGAGTCAGAGTTAGTGTGTTGATTGTGCAGTTCTCAGGATTGAATATGATATTGTTCCACTCATATCTTGCCAGTAATAATTTGTTGTTATCTAAACATGCAAGAAGTTATCTAAATATGCTCCTAAGCACATTGTTCATAACTTCAGTCTTCTAGGACAAGTTTTGTTCTGTTTTTAAAACCTCTTTTGCTATTTCTTTCAACTTCTTACTAATTTCTCACTTATTTGGCCCATTTGCCACATTTTCAATTCCTCAGAGCTCTTCTTTCACCAGAGGAGAGCTTTTTCATTTGCTGCAGGAAGCAAGCACATGTGCTTTTTCCCCCTTGCCTATTGTTTTCCTGTTGGGAGAAAAATCTTTACTATTTAGAGGTTAATTCCCCCTATTGACTCCTGTCTTCCAAACTGTGGATGAAGAACAGGAAGAGATATTATACTGTCTGACCTCCACTAGGGATGGCTTGCCCAACAGTAGGGCTTAAATTTTTCATATCCTCATTTCACCTTTGAATCTAGGGGGCAGATTCAAAAAGTAAATCATATTTATTTTATATTTGTATTCAATGAAAATTATGTTCAATTAAGGATATTATTTTCCTCCCATATATTTAATATCCTAATGTTATCACATTGAACATTACCTTTAGATGGCAAATTTTGGAGGGGTTGTGGAGACTATACTCCAAATAGTTGTGCATCACTGGATTAAACTCTTCAGGTTATATGCTCCTAGATTAGAATGGCAAGAGCAGATTATCTTTGGAAAAACATTTTCTGCATATTCTTAGATAAAATCTAGAGAAATTTTCTAGGACAAAATCATTATGCCCTGGAAAAGTGAATTGCCTTTTGCATGTTTACAGTTTGCAGGCTAGCTCTGGGAATATAGTTCCTGCTTTGTAAATATAGAGCAGGGAGGAGAGATTATAATTTAGAGGCCAGTTACTAGCCAATGTAGACAGTTGTCTCTGGATAGCCTGTAGGTTAAATTAGTGCTATCAGTTTTATATAAATAAACTTCAACAGCTGCATTAAAGGTGGCTTAGGTGAAGATATCCCAGTGAGCTTATCTTTGACTGTGGGCTTCTCTCTCTATACTGCACTTTTTTTCTTCTCTATAACAACAGCAAAATGCTTTCTTTCTTATCTTGTCTCCTTAGCATAGAACTCTCAGACTGGAAAATTAAAGGCTGGTGGCGAACGTATGCAGAGCCCTTTCTGTGGGCACGCATGCCATCGTCCCAGTCCTAGGCCTTCAGTCCTGTCCATGAGCAATCTGCATCAATATCCACACAGGATAAGGTTGCCGTGCCTGCCCCCGCCTCTCCCAAGCACTTTTTTTACTAACCTGCCTTTCAGCTGCATTCCATTTCTCCGTTCGCTTCTCAGCCTTCGCCGCGTGTTTGTGGGACTATTGGTAAAAAAAAAAGAAGTTCCATCAGACTTTCTAACTTCTCGCGAGATCTCAAGAAGTTAGAAAGTCTGATGGAACTTTTTTTTTTACCAATAGTCCCACAAACATGCGGCGAAGACTGAGAAGCGTATGGAGAAACAGCTGAAAGGCAGGTTAGTAAAAAAACACTTGGGGGAGGCAAGGGCATCTGGGCAGGGGCGGGCATGGCAATCTTACCCTGCATGATGGCGGGAGGGTGGGGTGCATGCCCTTCCCATGCCAGGCCAGCCCCTGCAGCCCTGGGGCAGACGTGCTGGACAGTGGTGGACAGGGTGTTGAGGTGGGGGCCAGCAAATCGATCAAAGCAGCAGGTGGAACGCTGGACGCTTGGGGAGGGAGGGTGCTGAAGTGGGTGATCGGGCCATTGGCAAGAGCAACGTGGTTGAGCGGAAAGCAGCCTCAGAACAAGTGGGACAGGTAAGGAAAGAAATCCTCGCTCCCCCCAGAAATTGCTTTTCTTTCCTTACCTGACTTCCAGCCCCGTGCCGTTTTTCCTTTGCGATCTGCCACCACGTGCAAGGAAACAAAGGAGGGTTTTTTTGGGGGGAAAGAAGGTCAATCAATCAATTCCAACTTCTCTAATGGACCTGCATGAGCTGCTGGTGGCGGTGGCCCGAGGCGGGGCTAAGGTGTATCGGGTGTGCGAGGGGAACAGGCTCCACGTGTGGGCTAAGAGCAGCAACCTGCTCTCCAACCACAAGCAAAAACAGATGGGACAGAGTAGGTGCATCCAGTGGTCTGCATCATGCACTTCCCCCCTCCCCTACTCTGCCTGCTGCTGGAGGGCTGGCCCGGTATTTGCAGCAGGCTGCAGAGCCCCAGAGTGTGCCATTCAAGGGGCCAGCAGGCTGTGGTTGCTGACGGACACAGTTGGCCCTCATGCACTCGCTGTGTGCGGGGGCCAATCGTGTCAGGCAGCAGCTGCCCCTGCCTCGCCTTGCCTTGCCCTGTGGCAATGGCACCTCTGCCCTGCCCCCTGCCTCACCTCGCCTCACCCCACAGGATGAGCCTCCTGCCCATCGTCCCACCCACCAGAGACCCCCTGGATCTCCCCCAACCCTGCCCAGCCCCCACAGGTGTCCCTCCCCACAAACAGCATCGAGGTGGCCATGCCCACCCCGACCAGGCCCACCCAGACTGCCATGACCACCGTAGCCACACCCACCCGGCGATACATAAGTGGGTTTTGAGTTTAAGTTTGGGCATTTGGTCTCTAAAAGGTTCGCCATCACTGGGCTATGGTATCTTTATACCATATATAAAATCAAGTCAAGTAATACTAAATGGTTGGTTAGCTTAGGATTCTTTAAATCGCATTAAAGGAGATTTTTTTCTCAGCATAAACACGTATGGGATTAGACTCTTTTTTAATCAAATAAAACTTCAGAAAATGAAGAAATGATTGAGAAAATGCAAACAATACACAAAAATACAAAATACAGCAGAGAAAACACATGTTGCAACTGCAAATCATGTTATTTATATTCTGTTTAACAACAGATGTTGCTAATATGACAACTATAAACAAGCTTGAGAAACCCTAAGACAGGGGTCTGCAAACTTGGCTCTTTTATGACTTGTGGACTTCAACTCCCAGAATTCTTCAGCATGGGTGGTTGAGGAATTCTGGGAGTTGAAGTCCACAAGTCATAAAAGGGGCAAGTTTGAAAACGCCTGCTCTAAGATTTTGCTATAATACAAAAAATATATATACTGTTGTGCAAAATTATTAGGCAAGAAGTATTTTGGGGAATTAATTTTCTTATTGAACAACTACAGTGCTCTCAGTCAGTCCAAAATGTTAATAAACCTCAAACCTGAATATTTAAGAAAGAAAAAGTGAAGTTTTGGTTTTCTTAGCAGAATATCTGTGTATGCACAATTATTGGGCAACTATTAGTGTGCAGAATTATTATGCAACTAAATAAAAAATGAAAAATTGCCCATCTCGTTTATTTGCATCTATTAAAGTGAGACTAATAAACAACTCAAAATGTATAAACAAACATTTCTGACATTACAAAAAAATGACACTGTTCAAAAAGCTGCATTGTTTTCCTTCACCGTAAATCTCCTGTTTAAGAAGGGCCCACAAGTTCTCTATAGGGTTTAGGTGAGGAAGGGGCCCATGTCATTATTCTTTTACCTTTGAGGCCTTTACTGGCTAGCCATGCAGTGGAGTTCTCCGATGCATGTGATGGAGCAGTGTACTGCATAAAGATCATGGTCCTCTTGAAAAATGCAGCCTTTTTCCTATACCACTGCTTGAAGAAAGTGTCTTCTAAAAACTGGTAGTAGTTTTGGGAGTTGATTTTGAGTCCATCTTCAACCCCAAAAGGTCCAACTAACTCATCTTTAATAATATCAGCCCATACCAGTACCCCACCTCCACCTTGCTGGTGTCTGAGTCGAAGTGGAGCTCTGCCCGTTACTGATCCAGCTGCGGACCCATCCATCTGGTCTGTCAAGAGTTACTCTTGTCTCATCAGTCCATAAAACCTTTGAAAAATCTGTCTTCAGATATTTCTTGGCCCAGTCTTGCCATTTCAACTTACCTTGTTCAGTGATGGTCGGGTTTTAGCCTTCCTTATCTTGGCCATGTCTCTGAGCACTGAACACGTTGTACTTCTGGGCACTCCAGGGAGGTTGCAGTTCTGGAATATGACAGCACTGGAGGATAATGGCTTCCTGGTAGGTTCACGTTTGATTCTTCTCAAATCTTTGGCAGTTTTTCTCAATACATTTCTTGCAACCCTGTTGACTACAACGAAACGTTTGATGATTCTGTGATCATGCCCCAATATCTTAGCAATTTCAGGAATGCTGCATTCCTCTGAAAGAGTTTTTATAATTTTTGACTATTCAGAGTCAATTAAATCTCTTTCTTGGCCCATTTTGCCTGAGGAAAAGAAGCTGCCTAATAATTATGCACACCTTGATATAGGGTGTTGATCTCCTTAGGCCATACCCTCCCTCATTACACAAATATACATCATCTGATATACTCATATCCACTAAGCATTTAAGTTTATACAGCTTGGAGGTGGAAAATATGCATGACAATGATATAGTCAAAATACTCACTTGCCTAATAATTGTGCACACAGTGTATTTAGGAGGAAATCTCCCTCAGTGTGGAATAGAATTATGAATAGTCCATGTAAGGCTGAGCCTCTTCAGTGATTCTGGGTGTTTGGATGTAAAGGTTAGCGTTGTTCACACTGCATGCTTCTGTTACAGGTTCTATGGATTTATTTTTATAAACTAATTGATTTTAATCATTGGTTCAAAGTCTAACTAATATTAAGTAAATATGTCTTCATTATAATCTTTGATAAATTAATGTTTTATTGTATAATAACAAATATTTTAATTGAACATAGTGCTAGGAATCAAATATGTGTTGCAGTTTTGAAAGTATTTCTTTTCTGGTTATAGAATTCTAAAGGAATGGTTGAAAGCTAAATTTCAAATCAACAGAAATGAAAAGGAATCTGCACCTCAGGCAAACAGCAGAATTCAGACACTTGCACTGCATACATCTCTCCAGGCACGAGAAGATCAAGAAACTTGTCTTAGTGTGTGCATAAAGGTCTGTTCAAGTGATAATTTTCTGATGCCACTGTCTTCACAGATAGTATAAAACATATTGCTGTTCTGTTTTGAGTAAGGGCAGTTCCATTCTGTACTCAAAGTAGCTACAGTAATTCAAAAATTATGGCAAGGCAGGACATAGGGAAAGAAATGAAATCCATAATCAAGAGAATAGGATCTTAAACAGAGCCTGTGGATTGATTGTTACTTTTAGTTCAGCTGTGCCAGAGTGAAAGAAAGGTTCAGAAACAGAACCTAAATCTAGGTTAATAGTTAAGGACTAGGAAAACTCAGGTTTAAGTCCATCTACAGCAGGGGTGTCAAATTGCCGGCCCATAGGCTGGATGTGTCACGCCAAAACCTTGCCCACCCCATTGCCGAAAATGGGAAAAAAGTCAGGATACGTCATGTGATGTCATGAGTTTGACACCCGTGATCTAAGCCATGGAAACTCTGAGAATTTTGATTCACTTCAAGACTGGTGGGTTTAAATCAATATCTCCCAACCTTGGCCATTTCCAGGGGTATGGACTTCACCTGCCAGAATCAATGGCCATGTTGGCAGTGGAATTCTGGGAGTTGAAGTCCACACTCCCAGAAATACAGTAGCTAAGGTTGGGAAACATTGGTTTAAATCTTAATAAAAAATATGAGGCTAGAAGACAGTGAGTTTGCCCCTGGCTTTATTTCAGCAACTAGCGCCCCTCTTCGAGGGAGATGGGTGGCTTAGAAATATAAAATAAAAATAAATTGCCATCTGAATGTTTTAAAAAAAATTCTATTTGAAACTTTTAAAAATCTGAATCCTTGGATCTGTAATGATTTGAGAACTCTTTTATTCACAAAACTTTACTGCAGATTTTGAAGAATGTTTCTGAGTTTTAAGGTGGGCACATACATGCTATTTCTATAAATGGAAATAAATTGTTTTCCATGTCCTATGTAGGTGGCTTGTGGAACACTTGGCACTTCTGAACTTGAAGACCCAGAAACTGGGAAAGAATTACTTGGAACTAGTGGGCTTATCCTTCTTCTATCTCCTCAAGTAAGAAGTGATGATCCTGCAGAGGAAGATGTATATTGGCTTTCAGCCTTACTTCAGCTGAAACGGTTCCTTCAAGTAATACCTTTCCAACCAAAACTACCTCTTGTGGTTCTTGTCCCTAGTCTTGGAAATGAGAGTGTGAAAAAGGAAGTAGAGGAAGGTATGTAAAGAACTTTGAACTAATTTATATAGAAACATTTATTTAGCTTATAAATACTGTAGATTTAGAACTCTAAATAGAAAATCTAGGCTTTTGTCAAGAAAAGCTAGACCCGAATCTTCTCAGGATAAATTGTTTTGTAGATGGATGATAATGTTGGTTGGTATTTTCCCCTAAAAAAGGAGTTGGCTAGTACTAAGCCTGCATAAGTACCTACTGAGGCCCTCATGTTTCATCCTTTACCTGCTAGGGCTGTTTTTTTAAGTGCTGAAGGTTGCAAGGGACTGGGAAAGAGAAAAGGAAGTTCTATGGCTCTCATTCAGATGAAGTTAGTTCTCTATCTTGAGCAGAGGAAAAGTTAGTTCAGCAGTGCGGTTCATATAGTGAGAAGCTACGTATGAGACTGTGTATGAAAAGTTTTCTATGTGCATCTATATGTGGGGGAGAGCAAATTACATAAACATGTACACAAACATGCTAATTAATCAAATTAAGCACTTGATATACTTTAAGTCTTTAAAGATTACCACCCCCTAGCTTAGACTGTTTGTATAGGTGTCCCTGTTTCCTCCTGTGCATGTCTGGGGAGAATAAGAAGTTGTGTGTCAGTCCTAGATGCCACATAGACCTAAAACTATTTTTATTAAGATTGCTATAGCAACAGAATCTTGTGAATCTAAATGTGCTTCCCTTCCTCCCTCTTTTACAGGTACTTCTTGAGTTACAACAATTTATTAAGTGACTGTCCGAAGTTACAACAGCAATGAAAAAGTGATTTATGACCGGTTTTCATGCTTAAAACCAATGCAGCATCCCCATGGTCATGTGATCAGAATTGGATGCTGGCATGTATTTATGATAGTTGCAGAATCCCAGGATCATGTGATCGCCATTTGTGACTTTCCTAGCTGACTTCTGACAAGCAAAGTCAATGGGTGAAAGCCAGATTCGCTTAATAACCACATGATTCATTTAACTGCAGTGATTTGCTTAATAACCATGGCAAGAAAAGTCATAAAATGGGGTGCTACTTACTTAACCACTGTTTGCTTACAACAGAAATTTGGAACTCAATTATGGTCATAAGTCAAGGAGTACCTGTATGTTTCATAGGAATTAGGGAAGTGCCTGTTTTAGACATTTTCATAACCTTCCCTCCTCATCTGAGTTTAAGCAGTGCTTACCTGTTGGCTTGGCAGTAAAACTCCTCTTCCTTCGTCAAGATCGTCCTCTTTATTCTCTGCATTTTGTGACTAAAGTGCAACTTCTTCTTTTCAAAGGTTTGATGCTGCCTGATTTGATTTCAGCTAAACTTATATCAAACTACAGTGTTGTTGAAATCCCAGATACTGTCAATGATTTGCAGGGTTCCATCAAGGTAAGAACTTTCTATGGATGAAGTTTTTAATCCATGCTCAGAACTAACATGTCTTTTCCCAGGAACCCATTGCAGCAGCAAAGGGCAGCTGAATGATTCCTGGAAAGATCACAGTTGTTTTAAGGAATTATTGACAGATATTCCATAGGCACCCGTCCATGGAACTGAAACACCCTTGTCTTGCACAAGTCTATCAGCTGTTATAATTAGAACACATTATTCTTGATTACATTTTAAATATTGTATTTAATATCAGTTTTTTTAGAACAAAGCAAAATTTTCTTATAAAGAATCCTGGAAATAAATGTGTCATCTGTTTCTGATTCTTGGAAACTAACATTTTAAATGATATTGATATTTTTATTTTTGTTTCTTCACATATTTATGATTTTTGCTCTTGGACGTATGATTTACTTTCTGTTTTTCTGTAGTTGATTATTTGATCTTTTAAAGGGAGTATTTCATACTCTAGACCAGTGATGGCAAACCTTTTAGAGACCGAGTGCCAAAACTGCAACCCAAACCCCACTTATTTATCGTCGGGTGCCAGGTGGGTGTGGCCACTGGGTGGTCATGGCTGCAGTGGTCATGGCCGACTGGGTGGGTATGGCCAGGTTGGGCATAGCCACCTTGATGTTGCTCATGGGGAGGGATGCCTATGGGGGCAGGGCAGGGTTGAAGGAGATCCAAGGGGTCTCTGGTGGGTGAAACAGGAGGTGGGCAGGAGGCTCGTCCTGCAGGGTGAGGCAAGGCAGGGGGCAGGGTAAGGGTGCCATTGCTGCAGGGCAAGGCGAGGCAGGGGCCAGGGCGGTTGCTGCCTGACATCAGCCCCCACACACAGCGAGTGCATGGGGGCCAACTGTGTCTGTTAGCAGCCACAGCCTGCCAGCCCCTCGACCGGTGCACTTTGGGGCTACGTAGCCCACTGCGAATATCGGGACAGCCCTCCAGCAGGCAGAATAGGAGAGGGGGGAAGCGCGTGATGCAGACCGCTGGATGCACCTACTCCATCCCATCTGTTTTTGTTTGCGGTTGGAGAGCAGGTTGCTGCTAGTCATTTCCTTGGCCCCCTTGCAGATCTTGCTCTTGGCCCACACATGGAACCTTTTCCCCTCACACACCCACTCCTCGGGCCGCCGCCACCAGCAGCTTGTGCAGGTCCATTAGGCTACCACCGCTGCCTGAAGCACCTGGCATGCCCAGCATAAAAGAGGTGAAACGGCTGGCTAGGAAGCCCCGCTTAGAAGTGGTGGAGCACGCCCACGCCCAGCAAGCCAAAGGCCACCCCAAGCAGGGAAAGCCGGATCTCCATTGGTGCCATGGCCCCCCAGTCCCAGCTAGGCTTGCGTGCCTCCCCCCATCTCTGCTGGGCCTGGGCTGCCATGATGCCGATGGGCATCCGGCTTTCCCTGCTCCAGTGGCCTTTTGCCTGCTGGCCCTGGGCGTGCTCTACCACCTCTAAATGGGGCTTCCTAGCTGACCGCTTTACCTCCTTCATGCTGGGTGGGCCTGCAGCTCTGGGTGGCGGCCTAGTGGACCTGCGCAACATGGCTGTTTGCCGCCAGCTGCAGCCATTTGCCACCAACTTCACCATTTACCATCTTGTGTGTCGCACCCAATGCTGCTGCAATGCGGCTCGGCTGAAAACAGCCATGGAACAAGTTGGGCAGGTTACCCCCTCATCTGCCCATTCAACTACAGCTTTGGTGGCTCTGTAGGCAGAGAAGAGAAGAGAACTTCGCAGCTCTGCGTACAGAGCCACCAAAGCAGTAGGTGGAGCACCGGAGGCTCGGGGAGGGAGGGTGCTGAAGTTGACTGTCGGGCCATTGGCAAGAGCAATGCATCTGAGTGGAAAGCAGCCTCGGAACAAGTGGGGCATGTAAGAAAAGAAATCCTCATTCCCTCCAGAAATTGCCTTTCTTTCCTTACCTGATTCCCAGCCCCGTGCTGCTCTCCTTTGTGATCCACTGCGTGCAAGGAAACAAAGGAAGTTTTTTTTGGGGGGGGGAAGGTCAATCAATCAATTCCAACTTCTTGTGAAAGATTGCGAAGTTGGAATTGATTGATTGATCTTTTTTCCCCAAAAAAACCCTTCCTTTGTTTACTTGCACGCGGCAATGGCGGATCGCAAAGGAGAAACGGCACGGGGCTGGGAGTCAGGTAAGGAAAGAAAGGCAATTTCTGGGAGGAGCGAGGATTTCTGTCAAATGTATCCGGTGTCGTCCGAGAGGTAGAACAACAGGAACGCCGGTACACATTGAACTCACCGATCACTTTATTGTGAAACTAGAACAAAGTCAGCACTGGGAGTGGTTTCCTCCCAGCGTCTTATATCTATGTGCCACGCCCCGTGTTCCCGCCCCCAGGTCCAAGCCGACATCCGCTCACATTGGATAAATGTCCCACCCTGTTCCTGTGCTCTCCCTTTCGCCGACGGAGCCCCGCCCCCACACCCCCCTGCTCGTGTGTCCAGCCTGCGCGCCGCCTTCCCGTCGCCGCACTTTCCCTGCCTACTGGGCCCCCTGTCAGGTAAGCAACCCCCCCTGCCAACCCTGCTGGAGCCCTCGGTAGGTCCCCAGTCCATGGTGTCTGCCTCGCCGGCCATTCGGGGGCTTCCGGGGTGGTCGGCATCAGCTGTGCTGCGGGGAATCCCGGCTCTGCCGCCGCCAGCCGTTCGTTGGGGCTTCCCCGGCCCGTACCCTGCTTGGCGTCTGTTCCCGTCTGTGCGGCTGCGCGGGGAGGCGGGGCCGCCGCCAGCCGTCCGTTGGGACCATCCCGGCCCGTATCCTGCTCGGCGGCTGCTCTCGTCAGTGCGGCTGCGCGGGGAGGCGGGGCCGCCATGTATCCCAGCCGGGGCCGATTACCGAGTGTTCCACCGAGCCGCTCGACGGTTGCCAGGGTCGGTAGGTTGCCGTCCACTTCCCCCCGTCCCCGTTTGCATGTCAAGCTCCCGGGAGCTTGACATGCGGCCCCTTCTACCATGTCTCCTCCTGGAAAAGAGAGGAGAGAGCGTGAGTACACAGCATTACACCCGTCTTGCCCTGGTTTTCCTGGATACCTATGGTGGAACGCTTGGATCAGTTTGGGGGCATTTATATCCCTCTCCCCTACCCACGTTGCTTCCGAGAGTGGGTACCCCCTCCATCGTAAGAGGTATTGGAGCTTCCCATACCGTTTTCGGGAGTCCAAGACCTCCTGCACCTCGTACTGGGACCCCGAGACTGGCCCCGGTGCCTGGGTGGGGTAGGGCCTCCCATGTGCAGGCTTGAGGAGGCTGCAGTGAAACACAGGGTGGATTCTACCTAATGAGGCAGGTAACCGCAATTGGACCGTGACTGGGTTAATCACTTTAGTCACTTGGAAAGGGCCCACATACTTCGGACCCAGCTTCCTGCATGGCACCTGCAATCGGAGGTATTTGGTGGCTAGGTACATCCAATCTCCTACCTTGAACGGTGTGTGCCCCGCCCTTTTCTTATCAGCCTGGGTTTTAGCACTCGCCTCGGCTTTCTTTAGGGCTGCCTTCACCCGTTCCCACAACCCTGTTATTTGGGCATACCACGCCTGGGGTGTCTGTTTGTTACCTGTCTCTGGCGACCATTCGGGTATGGGGTTAAACTCGATGCCATGCACTATTTTGAATGGGGTATATCCAGTGCTGCTATGAACGGTGTTGTTATAGGCCACCTCAGCAAACGGAAGTAGGTCCACCCAGTCCGTTTGCTGAAATGACACATAACTGCGAAGATACCGTTCCACCATGGCGTTAGCTCTTTCTGCCGCCCCATTAGTGCTAGGATGATACGCTGAGCTTAGTCCCTGGGACGAACCCAGCAAACGAATGAACTCCCTCCAAAACTGTGCCGTAAACTGCACCCCCCTATCGGATATAATCCTCCTGGGTGTGCCGTGGAGCCTATAGACATGTTGAATGAACATCCGTGATAGTCGTCGTGCTGACGGTAGACCTCTACACGGGACAAAATGCGCCTATTTGGAGAACAGATCGACCACAGTCCAGATTGTATTATAGCCTCGATTTTCGGGTAACTCCACGATGAAATCCATGGCGATCTCCTCCCAAGGCCGGGCTGGATTGGCTACGGTTTGCAACAGCCCCATGGGTTTTCCTATTCGATGCTTAGCACTGGCACACACATGGCATTCTTTTACGTATCGTTCTACATCGACTTTCATTTTAGGCCACCAGAACTGTCTACGTAATAAGTGTAGGGTTTTCAGGAACCCGAAATGGCCTGCCTGCTTAGTATCATGGCACCTCTGAAGGACAGACTTGCGTAGAACTTCAGGCACATACATTTTATCGCCCTTCCAGGCTATGCCATCTCGCCTGGTCAGCCACTCTGGATGTTCGTTTGCCCATTTATCTGTCAGCATGGCAGTTCTAACCTTATCTAACTCATCCCCGTGTGGGTTGTGAATTGCACCGTTAGCTGCCTCCTGATGTGTGCGGGGTACTAGTGCCTGAACTACCTCCTCACGCTTACTATGATACTGCGGCATCCGCGATAGTGCGTCGGCCAGGAAGTTCTTTCCTCCCGGCACATATTTTAGTATGAATTTAAACCGACTAAAGTATTGGGCCCATCGGACATGTTTGGGAGCCAAGCGCCTCGGAGACTGCAGAGCCTCCAGGTTCTTGTGGTCCGTCCACACTTCAAATGGCCGTTCGGCCCCTTCTAGGAGATGTCGCCATGTCGTCAAAGCCAATCGGATCGCGAAGGCCTCCTTTTCCCAGACGGCCCAATTCCGTTCAGCCGTCGTAAACTTTTGAGAGGTGTAGGCGCAGGGCTGTAATGCGTTGTCTTCGTTCTTCTGCAGTAGCACCGCCCCCACAGCAACATCGCTGGCGTCGACTTGCACTACAAAAGGGATGCTCAAATCTGGGTGGCGCAGTACCGGTTCGTTAGCGAACAATGCCTTTAAAGTCTCAAACGACTTTTGGCAGTCCATGGTCCATATCAGTGGTTGACTCGGGC